TAGTTACTAATAATAGTAATAAGCCTTAGTATATGTAGCCACTTTAACTTTACATGAGACAGAAAAAGAAAGAACATTGTTAACTTTCAATGTAAGTGAACATAACAAGAGTTTTCTTCCCATAAATATGTTTTGTCTTCTTCCTCTGGTCCAAAACTTTTTTTTTCACCTGTGCAATATTTCCAAAATCCGACCATCTCTTTCCCAGCCTGCAGCTGAACCTCTCATTCATGCTTTCATTTCAGTTTATCTCCTCACATATAGAGCTCTCAGTGTTCTTGCACCTTCCTATCTGTTTGACCTTCTTCAAACTTACAAGCCCATGCATACTCTCCGATCCTCTACAGCTGGACTGCTTACTATTTCCTCTTCTGACCTCCGTAGCTTTGGCGACCCAGCATTTTCCAGACTCGCTCTGCACCTCTGGAACTCTCTACCTTCACAAACTCAACAGTCAAACTCATGTCATTTCATCCTCTGTATTGTGATTTATGTATTTCTGTCATTTGTTTTGTCATCTGCATGGTTTCTTTGATGTTAGACATAACATGTCCATCCAAATTGTAACCTGTAGGCGTCTATGAGTATTTGAAAAGCACTATGCAAATGTTGTGTATTATTATTATTATTATTATTATTATTACAAAACTGAAGCCTTTCTATTAGTCCATTCTTCTTGAAATTCTGACACAATGTAAATAGCAGCTTGTATTTTCATGTTATGTAAAAACATGAAAAACATAAACGCATATACAAGGTTTTGACTTATGCTTTAGAGGCAATCAACATAAGGTATAATCCATTCTGTATTTGTTTTAAATGCAGTGTAATGACGGTTATGCTATAGTGTATGAGGTTTTTATTAGGTTTAATTAAAATTCATACATGTTAAATAAGCTTTAAATATTCAGATATTAATGAAAGATTTTAATTCACATTTTTTCATTTAGTTGGTATGTATTATATATAAGTATTAGACGGTATTGTGACAACCTTACTTGCCCGCTTATGGGTAAGTTACTCATTTTTTTGGCAGAAGAAATTGCAATTACTAAAAATATATTTGAAACATATTTGGGGCTTCTTTACTTTACTTTTAGTCTACTTTCTAAACCTGTTGTATAAAAGGTATATTATGCGTTATTGGACAACACATTCCGTCTCCGTTGCCTCAAGATGAAGCAATACCATCTAAAGCACTGGCATAAAACAAGAACGAATAAAAGTGAAATGATGAATGATTGAAAATGTAAGCAAGAAATGCTGTGCGACAAGTTACTTAATCACTTTAAGTCTGAGCCCCCTGTTTGTGCACTGTGCATTGGTGTGGCTTGCTGTGGCATTGGGCCACTTTCTTGTCTTCAGGAGCTGTTACATCATAAAGTAGCCCAGGTAAGCATTCCTGTCAGTCTGAGATGAGCTCCTGGGTTGGCACTGAGCCCTGTTAATCTCAATAACCCTCCAACCTTTTCACAAGATGCTCTTTCAGACAACACGGATTGGATCGCCACATCATCAAGATAGGCTTCAGAATGGCTGAATGAGCTCTGTGGAGAGAGACACTAGGCAACTATTGCAGTTGCAGTGCAGGTGAGCATACTGCTGCCATCACATGAAAGCTTTATTTTTATTGGAACGCTTGGTACTTTACATTGTGTAAATATTTCATTATAAATGGTCCTGGGGTAAAAGAGACCTGTAGAAACTGGTCAGATCTGGAGATAGAGAGAGAGCTCTAGAGAGCTCAGCTTCTTCCAGAAAGAATCTTCCTGTGCTTATTTTATTTTCTTGTGGTATCAGTCGTAGTTCTGTACTGATATATAGATGTACATATTATCACTGCTGTAATGAATCTTCATGTCTCTGTAACAGTAACTACAGTACTTTAGTACTGTACATTAACATAATGACATTTTTTGGCCAATTTCTATTGGTCCATTATTATTATTATTATTATTATTATTATTATTATTATTATCATTATCTGTGAGGTCTGACCATGCCTTCAATATGTGGTGGTAGTACGAGGGAAGATTGATTGAGGTAGGGGAAAGAGCTCTAAGAACTTGGGCTGGAGTTCTGGGCAGCTTCTGCCTGTAGCTAGAAGGCCAGACCCCCTCATAGCTTTAGCAGGACTGATGTAGGACTGAGGGAGGAGATGGGGTGACGGTGAGGACTGCAAACACTTTGTCATGGGAACGGAGGTGAGGATGTGAATTTATAGGGTGTTAGATTGGAAGAAAAAGGGGTTTCAGGCATGTTCCCTCCCCACAAACTTCAGTTATAACATAACTATATTTATTATTATTATTAGTAGTAGTAGTAGCAGTAGTAATAGTAGTAGTAGTGGTAGTCGTAGTAGTTTGTATTTTAATATTTATTTGAATAAAATATTCAGGATGGATACAATTAGCAAAATCAAATGTAATGTAAAGCCCCCATCCACTCTCCTCTCTTGTTTTGTGATGAGTGTAAAGAGTAAAGCAATTTTCTCTCTACATCACAGTTTTGTATAAATAAATGTTTGTAGTGGAGTTCTGAGAAATTGTGATTTTCAAATGGAGACGGTGTTTTGTTTGGAGATCAGCACTTTAGAGATTCATTGGAGTGTCTAAGTGTCACTGTCAGAACTTTTAAACTAAATGTTCTGATGTTCTTTCATTAATACAAACAGTGGTGTAATACCAGCCGCGCAGGCGAGGGCTGTTACACCGGGAGCTGCAGCGCGGGGGCCCCATACCGCCTTTATTAGACCACTTATATCATTACTTGTGCAATTTTACACCCATGATGACTCATAAGTAACCATGAAAACTTAATAATACACTTCAAGCATTAGCCCACATTAGAGCACCAACTCGACTGAGACATACTTAGCGAGTAAGTAAATAAGCAAACTACACTGTCTTTTTTTATTGATTGAAGATCATTTTCCTGCTTGCTTTATTTATTTATTTGTTTGTTTGTTTGTTTTATACACAGCCCTAGTTATGCTACTGAAAATAAAATCATTCTTGACATGGTGAACCTTCATCCTTTTTAAGCACTGAATGTTTGCATATTATTTGACCAATAGCAAGCATTCAAGTATAGAGATCATACACACAAGGAATCACAAGGAAAGTATTTACTCCTGCACTGTTGCAGTGGTACAACCTCCAATACATTGTTCTACAATCACAAATTTATCATGCTTAATAGACCTGCAGGTACTCCAGTCTACAGTGTGTAGCTACTGCTTGCTCAAAGAAGATGTTTCTCCAAAAAATGATATAGAAAGGATAAGTTTTTGTGCGTATAAGTGTGATATACTGGCTCTGGTGGCCTTTAAGTGAGCAGGATTGAACAAAGCTGTATTCATACCTCGATGGAGTGGCTGTAGGTGTGTTTCATAGCCTAAATCAATAGCTTTTATAGCAGTGTGGAGTGCAGGCAGTGGTCAATAGCTGCCAGAGAAAAGATACAAACGTAGATGAAATGCTGGAACAAAGGCATGAAAGCAGCACTGCGCTTACGCTCACGACTGCAGTGAAAAGACTGACATTAACCATCGTCACCTCACACTGAATTAGGTGACTGTGGGTGAGAGCGAGAGCATATTGACCTGTAAAAGAATTATATGGGCCCTGTGTGTGTGTGCATGCATGCATGTGTGTGTGTCTACATGCGTGTGTACTGGGAGGGAATCTCTCATGTTTCAACTTGATTACAAAACAATTCTCAATTTTCAATTTCTATAGCTATATGTTATTTTTCCCTGTATTTGGCATTAACAAGTAGTGTTTATTATGGTTTTGGGCTTTTACTTCATATACAGAACTGTACAACAGTCAGAGAAGACCTTTTATTTATTTAGTTTTCAGTCATAATTGCCATTGAGTAAAATGTATTCATTTTACAGGAGATATTTCTAAGGAGATTAGACATACCATAGTCCACTTGCATTGGAAAAAGTGGATGGTTAACAGAAAATTAGTGAAAAAAACAGGAGTTTCCAAAACTGGAGTTAAAAATGATTAAATGATACAGATTTTAGACTCCTGATAACAAAGCAAAGCCTGGTACACTCTAAAAATGATGGTTCTTGAAGAGTTCTTTAGCAAAGAAAATGGTTTTATATGGAACCATGAACAGTCAAAGATCCCCTTACATGATTAAAGGGTTCTTTACATGGTGAAAGGTTCTTCAGATTGATGGTGAATGTGCTGTAGACAGAAAATGGTTCTATATAGCACCAAAAAGGATGTAACAATAGAAGAACCTTTTTTTGGTGCTATATAGAACCATTTTGAAAAAGATTCTATATTAAACCATATACAACACATTCTCCATCAATCCGAAGAACCTTTTGCAATGCAAAGAACACTTTAATCATTCAAAAGGTTCTTTGAGTGTTAATAGTTCTGTATAGAACCATTTTCTTTACTAAAGAACCCTTGAAGAACCATCTTTTTAAATGTGTAGACCACTAACACTGCATCAGATAAACAAGCTTTCGTCTTTGAAAGAGAGGAGAAAATCAAGTTCCGCTCTTCAGATCTGAAAAAAAAACAGTCCCTCAACATCACTGAATGTGTTTGGGATTACTTGGATCAAAGCAGAAAATGCAACCAACTTCTAAGACTGAACTTTGGAGGTGTGTAAAATATACCTGCAGATTTCTTTAAAAATTTAAAGCAAGTATCCCAAAAAGATGGAAGCTGTAAAATACAAACAGTGGACACACTACACACACATCTTCTAAGCTGCTTATCTTTCTGGGTCATGGGGGGAGCTGGAGCCTATCCCAGCAGTCATTGAGTGGAAGGCAGGATATAACCTGGACAGGTCACCAGTCCATCACAGGGCAGACAGACAGACAGACATATACACACTCACACCTAGGGCCAATTTAGCATGTCCAATTAGCCTGACTGCATGCCTTTTGACTGTGGGAGGAAACCCACGCAGACATGGGGAGAAGATTCACGCAGAAAGGACCCTGGTTGCCCAGCCAGGAAATCGAACCCAGGCCCTTCTTGCTGTGAGGTGACAGCGCTACCCACTGCACCACCATGCAGGAGCTGGCTTCTGTACAAAACAACTGACAAATTTGTGACTGCAAAGGTATGAGATCTTGCATATCTTCTTCCTCTTCTGAGCCAAAGTATCTCACTTTATAACCTCTCTTGGTGTGTGTGAGTTTATTCTGCTGTAGGAGAAACACAGAGTCTAAGATGTGTTGAGAGTGAATTCTAAATCTTTCAGTGGAGAATCTAGGACTTATTTGTCTCACCCCAGTGTGAGTGTGGATGTGTCTGTATGGCATGTGTGGAGTGTGGTGTAGGACTATCAAGTCCAACGTGTGCGTGTCTGTGCGTGTGGAGTGTGTATGTCTGCCCCTACGTCATCTGCTTCTTGGCTCCACACAGTGAACCGCTTTAATGGAATTGGAGAGAAGGTTTTGGTCCATTGAGCTCGCGCTGGGACATGATTTAGTAGACAGCGACCCCTCTGCCTTCGTCTTGACCCCCTCTCCCTTTCTGCCTTCTGACTCTCTTCATATAATTAGTCGTGAAGTGGGTCATTATACAGTAGCACTCCTCGCTCTTGTGCGTCATTGCGCGTCAGGGTGAGTTTCCCCGGCGCGCGGAGGGGAACCTCGCGCAGCGCCTTTAAAGACGGGACGGGAATTTTCTTCAGCAACTTCATTCACACGCGCCCCGCAGAAAGAGACTCGATAGGAGAAAGAAGCCGCTCAATAAAGTCTGCAGTGGTCGAGGCTGAAGTGGAGCGCAGACGGTGACTGCGCAACCCCTCCTCCATCTCTCTCTCTCTCTCTCTCTCTCTCTCCCCCTCACTCCCTCTCTCTGGGGACTTTTAGCCAGACTTGTGGCTCCAGTTTAGCGCGAGACGTCAGCGGCATCACACACACGGCGCTGGGACTGAAGTGGACCCCCAAGCAGAGCGTGATGATGAAGGTCAGTGAACGCGTCTCTCCAAACGGCCTCTTACTGTCATCTGAATGAGGAACGCCAGAGAGTCATTTACAGCTTTTTTTCCATATTTCCATGTTTTTCTTCTTTCTTCCGTTCTTTTCCAATAAGTGCTGCACTGAATTTACTTGGTACATGTGTGTGCATCGTATACGAATTATATCAGTTTCCGTTTTCACTTTTGACAGTAATTGAGTGTGATGTAAATGTTTTATTCATCAGTGTAAGCTACAGCTTCACTTCACTGTAGTATTAAAGTGTGGTTCAGTTAATATGAAGCCTGTAACTTTATTTTATGCCCCCTCCTTACCTCCTTTAGCCGTCGTTGGTGGTGCTGGTGAGCTCCAGGTGGTCGTTGCTGCTGTTGCTGGTGGTCGCGTCGCTCGCGCTCTCGGCGCGCGCGGACTGTGGCGCGGACTGCGCGCGCTGCTCCGGGCGCCTGGGGCTTCAGCAAACGCGCATCAGCTCCATAGTAAGTGCGCTGGCACACACAACACACACTGCATGCTGTTCCGGTGCGCACACACACACACCTACACACACACACCCACACACAGTGGAGCGCTGCGTAAAACAGTCACGCTCTGAGCTCTGAGTTTGCGCCAGAAACCGCGCGCGCCGCTCTGGGAGCTTGAAGCCGTGACGAAAGCGCTTCTGTTGAAGCTTATTGCTTATGATAAACCGTTTACACTCTTTTAGACTCCTATAATACAAACCTGTAAACCTTGTCCTACAGCGCAGGGCTCAGCGATAGATGTCTGTTAGAAGGAAGTCAAAGCGACTGGATGTGCGCACTGACTGTCCACTACTGGACAGTTCAGTGACCTGAATGGAAGCGTTCGGACGCTCAGAGCTTGTTCTTTTAAGCGCATTTCTCATAAGATAAACTGAGAACTGTCATGCATTGAATGTGTGCGTTCATTTCCACGTGCATAAAACGTATTATCATCACATTTACTACCAAAAGGAAAGACGTGTGTGTTCATGTAAAATATATTTAAAATTTACACTTAAATTCAATGCATCACTCTGTTCAGTGTAGCAAGACCCTCTAAAGCCAGATGTGCATGCTTGGGCTTCTTTGTTAGGTTAATAAAAATACTACTACTAACAACAGCATAATATTATATAACAACAAAACAGGCAAACAGCAACAAAACAACAACCACAACAGCAGCAATAATAATAATAATAATAATAATAATAATAATAATAATAATAATGGTTTGGTATTTTGGTACTGTGTCTTTTACACTTCACAGTGGATGACTTTTTTTAAGAAAAGGGCATCAACTTGTTTACAAGAGTAATTCAGATCTTTTTATTAGCCAATAGATTAGATGTTTATATATTGATTTTGACTGCCTTTTGTAATGGAAATGAACTTATATTACTGATAAATTGATTGTGTGGCATTTTCTAACCACTGCATGCTGCCTAAATCCATGATGATGTATTGATCAAAGCTGCCCTAAAATCTTCCGGGGCTGGTTATCACATCACAAAGCTGTGGGAGCGAAATGGGGTGAGGGGGACAGAGAGAGAGAGGGAAAGAGAGAGAAACTGTAAAGTGACTGAATTGGAAATCGAATTGTACACCAATACTATGCACTGAGACATCTCTGTGAAGTTTTACATATATGTGCTTTGACTTAGTTTCCCTCACTCTTCTCACTGAATAACCTGATTTTTGTGTGTGTGTGTGTGTTTGTATACTCTGTTTTACTCTCTTTATGGAGACCTAATCACAGAAAAACCTGAACAGCCAGGTGTTGTGAGTAGCAACATTTGGCTGGAGGACAAATGAAGAAAACTAAAAGAGCTTCATTTTGTTTACTGAGGTTAAGTTTAGGTTTAGCCGTAGATGTGGTGTAATCTAGAGTGATACACATTACAAGAATCTTGATGAAGATAGTATTACATGACTGCATGTGTTAAGAGCATTCTATTCAAGATTTTCTTAAAATTGAGTGTCATGCTGCATTAGCATTCACATGGTTGCCCACAAGCTTATCACTGCCTCACGCCCGCACACACTCACTCACTCATTTACACCAACCACAGTGCTGTGGAATGAAAGGGGAAGCAGTTACTGGTGTCATATATTCGTCTTTGATGTTAATGGGGACTGGACACAGGGCTGACATTTCCGCCCACAGCATCAACACTGATGTGCTTAATTATGCCGGAGAGGCTGGAAGTGCTGGGTGTTTATGCGTGTTTGTCAGAGTTGCAGATGGTGTGTGTATGTGTCTTACAGACTGTTCTCATGCTCGTATGTTTTTGGCAGGCGTGTGTGTTGCAGTGCGAGGGGCATCTGAATGTTGGCAGCTCTTGGGGCTTGTGTCAAGGTCTCCTGCAGGCCACCGAAAGCACACCTGAGGCAGAGCGGGTAACGGCAGAAAATGAGCCCCAACAGCAACACCAGGAGGAGAAAAAGTACGGTGGCTTCATGAAGAGATACGGTGGCTTCATGAAGCGTTATGGTGGCTTTATGAAACGATACGGAGGCTTCATGAAGAAGGCGGCTGAACTCTACGGCCTGGAGCCAGATGACATCGACCGTGGCCGAGAAATCCTTTCCAGCAGTGATGCTGAGGTGCTGGCCAATCAGGTGGAAGACGACAGCGAGAAGGAGCAAGCTGCAATCAGGGACTTTCGTAATGCGAGGGGAGGGGCTGCAGGGTTAGAGGGCATGGCTAAGCGCTATGGCGGATTTATGAGGAGGGGTTATGACCCCGAGGCTCAGAGGTTACTACAGAAACGCTACGGGGGCTTCATGAGGCGAGTAGGCCGGCCAGAGTGGGGGGAGGAGAGCAAACGCTATGGAGGATTCCTCAAACGCTCCCCGCAGGAAGACGAAGAGGAGGAGGAGGAGGAGGAAGAAGAGGAGTCGTCAGAGATGGAGAAGAGATATGGGGGTTTTATGGGATTTTAAATTCCTCGCAGACTTTGATTAGCCATTAACTGTCGTGTTCTGTTCCACTCTGTCCTCCAACTCGTAGAAGTTACTCTATGATCACAGCAGAAATAAAAAAGAAACACGCTTACAGTGCTGACACCGTGTTTATGATTTGTTCATAAAGTCCACATAGTGATAAATATGTATTAAGAACATGAACAAGATGCAATCAAAGAGCAAATACAGTGGCTTATGGTGGGTAATGGGATTTACTTTCGACAGACGCAAGCCTGTGTAGCAGAATTAGACAATAATATGATGATAATAATAGTAATTTCCGTTATTATCTCTCTGGTCTGCCCATTTCTCCATTTGTCCATTCGCTCCTCTTTCCTCAGCCTCACCACAGTTAAAGACTTTTACGCCAAATTCAGTTAGAGACTGATCCGGTGACAGAACGAGGTATGGCAGCTGACTAAAGAGGGTAAAACACATTGTTTATTTGTCCACAACAGAGTGATTCCCCCCCTCAATGCCTGTATTTCTCATAGTCTGTTGTTCTGATGTCAGTCTGAATTTGTCATATGCTGTACAGCTTGAATAAACTGCTCGAAACTGCAACAGAATGCCTCTGTCTCAAATAAATATGTCAATCTGCTGTTCCAGAGACACATCCTGTCTCATCTATGAGTGGTGCTTTCAGACTATTGTTAGTCAGCAGTAGTGACTGACTTTACTAGAGCATGTCAAGATGATGCCTGTCATTATAAAGGCTACCCTAATCACTTGATCAATGTTGTGAAATGATGGTGAAAAGCTTTCATTTTAATGGTCTGACTAGAATGAGGGCACTGCAGCTAAAGATGGTAGCTTGAAAAAATTTACAACTGAAACACAATCATTCTGTAAGTAAGGTAAGAGTCAAAGCCATAAACTGTGTTTTCAGCATGCGCCAGTTGAACTGCTAATGTTACAGAATGCTCAGAACACAGTACCAAAGTCCAAAGTCTTTCACCTTCATTTCTATAGTAGGCTAATCTTAACCACTTCAACTGGATCTAATCGGCATGTCAGACTTATGAGAAAACCAAATTTTCCTCACTTGCATAATATTTTACAAAAGTTTGATACGGTGTGTAAACAGGTTTCAAAATGCACCATTCACATTTCCTATATGTAAACTAAGCTGCATAAAACCATTTTTAACTTGTTTTTATGATGTAACAAAATCCAACATATAAGAAGTGTTTAGGCCTTTCTGAATAACTAGTTGTGGAATGAGGCATAATAATTGGAAGCCAATCAGAAGAGATGTCATTTACATATATCAGTCTGACAGGTGCACAAAAGCCTGTTCATTTTTAAAAGATAAAGAGAGGCTAGAAAATGTAAAATATTACATATTAGTTTTGTCGTGGTAACTATAATTCATAGTAGTTAAGATTAATAACTGAATAATAAGAGGTAATAAGCCTGGGATTAAAATGTAAACAGATCATCATTCATCATTGATGTGAAATGCGTCATTGCCAGAAACTGTTCACAGTGGTGGTGGTGATAAGACCCAGAAACTTAAAGTTAATACCTCTAAAAGCTACCTCACAGATAGTTATCACATTAAATGGTGAAGAATATGATATCTGATGCCTGTGACATTGTTTTATAATAATTCTGAAATAAAGTTTTGGCCTAAAGTACACACACACACCCTCTAAACCGTTTATCCTTCTGGGTCGTGGTGGGGTGCTGGAGCCTATCCCAGCTGTAATTGGGCGGAAGGGGCCTAAAGCATAATTTTTTAATTCATTCATGGTGAAGAGGTACATGTAGGGCATTATAGGGCAAATCCCCACACAAAACATATATGTTTACTTTACCATCATGAACATCATATATAAAACTCAGAAGATTTGTATGTCACTGGTTGTTTTGGACAACAAATAAAATGGCTTTACTTGTGTTGTAGACAATGTGACCCCTGGTTTCTATGACGATCACTGTAAATAAAATGAGAGGTGGTATATTCTCTACCCTGCACCATTTTACATCAAACCACTGAAGGCCTTTACATTTGTGAGGAAAAATTACTTACATCTCAACTATAATTATATTTATACTGAAATCGTGAACATTTATTGAAATTGGTTAAGCAACATTATTTGTATACACCTGTGTACACTGCCAATAGTCTAATGTTTGTTCTCTCTCTTGCAGAAAGTGACACAGTCACAATAGCATCCATTTACATGCTAGGTAGACTACCAGAGCAGGTAGAGCAGGGGTGTCTAATCTCTGCAAAGGGCAGGTGTGGTGCGGGTTTTCCAAACAAACAGTAGCACACCTGAGTCTACCCGTTAAATCACTGATCAGATGCGGTTGTGTTTTGTTGAAATGAAAACGTGCAGCCACAGTGGCTCTCTGCGGATAAGATCGGACACCCGATGAGGTAAAGGGGGCGTTCACACATACAATGGATTCCGTTGACATTCGTGGATGTTCGCTTATACTGTATGTAATACAGAGCTACAGTTGTATGCAAAAGTTTGGGCACTCCTACTCAAAATGCATGCAATTTTAATGCATGGTTACCCTTTATTTGATGAATTTAATATTTTTGATAAAACTAAAATAAAATGTTTGGGCACCCTTCCAAGTCGATTCATTAATGTTATTTTTTGTAAGAGCTTATTTGATTCATTAGGCCGTAAGCCAAGTCAATCACAAGCACAATTTCAGATTGTGATAAATGATACGACCCTTTAAACCTCTGTGTTGTGTTTACACTCAACAGCCATGGGCTCATCTAAGAGGCTGAATGAGGATCTGAAACTAAAGATAATTAATTCTTAAAAAGCAAGAGAAGTCTATAAAAGATATCTAAACCATTCCTGGTTGCGTTTTTCACTGTGCGAAATGTCAAAGAGAGAAGTTAAAGAGAAGTCTGAAAGATCTGAAAGACCAACACCATACATCCTCTGAAAAGCACTGCTCATAGACTGCTCAAGAGTTCAAAGCAAAACCCCCACATCTCTGCTAGAGACCTACAGGAAGATTTGGCTAGCATGGAAATCTGCACCAGTCAGTGTTGTTGGTAAACATCATCTACATGGAAGGGTCAACAGAAGGAAAGCTTAACTGTGATCTCACCACATAAGTCAACATCTGAAGAATGCAAAACAACATCTAGACAATGCAGAGACATTTTAGAATCAAAGTGCTGTGATCTGATTAAACAAAAATTGAACTATTTGGCTTCAAAGTGAAGCATTTCAATTAAAGAAAACTTGCAAACTGTTAAGTATGTTGTGTGGCAGCCAGTGAAATATTGAGAATGGAGAGACATATTACTAAACATGAACAGATCCTGGATACAAATGTCCCATGGTCAGCAAAGATAAATTAAAGAAGAAGAACAGTTGAATATTACAACAAGATAATGATCCAAATACATACCTCAACATTAACCTTGAACTAGTTTAATAAATAAAAGATTAAGGTTGCAAATGCAAGACAACCTATGAATATTTCTAAACTAGAAATTGTTCTGCAAGGACAATGGGAAAAAAATCATGTCATTTTAGTTTGTTCCATGCCAAAGTGTTTTTTTTTAATCAAATGTGCCCATATTTTTACACATAACTGTACACTAACTGCTCTCCCAACAATATTTCACTAGGCCAAAGTGTCTGTTTACATAGTACATAGCCTGCAGCAAAGTAACCACGCAGCTGAATAGCCTCTCAAACAGTGTCATACATTTGCTCAACTGTATAACAAACTTATATCTCACAACTTTTACTGGCATACTGGAAAAAAGATACTCAAGAAAATATCTGATGGATTTGTACTTTCCTGGGTATTTAGAATACCTTTACCTCTGCTCAAGAATATTTGTGAGGAAAGGAATCTACTTCTACTCAGTTACACTGTAGTCATTACCCATTAGTTACTAATTCCTTTTTTTGTGTTTAATGTAATTCTGTTACTTAACATTTATACAGCTTTGTGATTGGTCACACCTCTGACTTCTGACATTTATCATTTTAAAAGTAAACTGAGAAGAAAAGAACAGCCAAGCAAACTTCAGTTCCTTAAAACTTTGGAAAGATGCGGCATGTATAACAAGTACCACTACAGTTCTATACGTTATGTTAGTGTTTTGGTACTTCTGTACTTACTTGCTTGGTTTTTTAACAATACTTTAATATATATATATATATATATATGTATATATATATATATATATATATTGCTGCTGTCAGAACAAAACCTTGTATCTCTACTTTTGTTGTTGTTTGTTCTGTTTTGACATAATTTGAAAATACCTGTTGTCCATATATTGTGTGTAAATTTCATTGATTTATATTAAAAGTAGAGTATGTTTTTACACTCTCCTGTAAAGTTTTCATTTTGGAGATACAACGGTTTGATCCGACAACAGTGATATACACACACACACACACACACACACACACACACACATATATATATATATATATATATGTGTGTGTGTGTGTGTGTGTGTGTGTGTGTGTGTGTACAGAACCATATACACCACTCACCATATAAAGAACCATTTATGCATGAAATTTTCTACATGAAATGTTTTATAAATACTCTAAAAAAGATGGCTCTTCAAGGGTTCTTTAGTACAGACAATGTTTCTATACGGACCCATGTACACTCAAAGAACCATTTGCATGCTTGAAAGGTTCTCTGCATGGCGAAATGGTTCTTCAGATTGATGGAAAATGTGATGTATATGGTTTTATATAGAACCTTCTTGAAAATGGTTCTATCAAGCACCAAAAAGGATCCTTTTATAGTTACAAGCTTAACATCGTAACAATAGAAGAACCCTTTATGGTGCTATATTAAACCATATACAACACACTCTCCATCAAACTGAAGAACCATCTTTTTTTAAGTGTCTATACTTTCATCATTCAGCTCATTTCTTAAATAACTGTGATGCCTCTATATTTTATGTGCTGTTGACGGATATTTGAACGAAGTACCAACACCTCACCCTGTTTTTCAGTGTGGTGTCTATCCACCAGGCAAGTTCTTCCACGCTCTTTGCTGTGCTCCTCAAATGCCTCCCGGCGTGTAAACGGTTAAGCAGAGGCCGCGCCCTCCACATCCTCCACCGTTACCGCGGCCCAAACGGCCACGCTGACCTTTGTACTGACAGCACGGAGAGCACCGGAGTGTGGAGTGAGCGAAGGTCGAGCGCCGGTCTGTTTAACAGAGAGAGAGAGGAGCGAGCAGGTCTGTGCTGTAGTTTGCTAACTGAGGTAAGTTCGCTGTACGGAGCTGCATCTCCTCAGAGGAGCGGAAGTCGGTGCAGAACTCGAGCTCTTTCAGGGCTGAGGGGCGGAGTGTCGGGGTGTTGTTACTGACAGGCTGCTTTTCTTTAAAGTGAGTGAGAAACTCTTGTGTTCGTGTTCAGGGCCGTCATGAACTTCCTCCTGGAGACGCTGAAGGTGCTCCTGCTCTCGCTCTGGTTCAGTCTGGAGGCGCTGTGGCGCGCGCTCGTGCCCGCGCGCAGGAAGAGCGTTGCCGGGGAGACGGTGCTGCTGAGCGGCGCGGGCAGCGGGCTGGGCAGGCTGATGGCGCTGGAGTTCGCGAGACTTGGCGCGAGACTAGTGCTGTGGGACATAGACGAGGAGGGCAACAAAGAGACAGCGAGACTGATCAAAGAAGAATACGGGACCCGCGCGCACACCTACACCTGCGACTGCAGTAAGAGAGAAGAGGTGTACAAAGTGGCAGACCAGGTACACACACACACACACACACACACACACACACACACACACACACAGTCTGGCTAACCCTGGTGAGGACTTCCATAGGCTTATACTGAGTTTTGCATTACTGCAGCCAAATAATGCTACACCTAAACCTAACCCTAACCTTAACCTCAGGATCCAAAGGAAATTTGTCTTTGTTTTTTAAAAAAAAGTACTTTGTGGTGAAAACAACATGCGCTCAAGTGAAGACCAGCAAAATGTCCTCACTTGAGCAAAAATGTCATGTTGTCCTATCATTGTAAGGACATGTGGTCCTCACAAGTATAGCAAGACAAGAACACACACACACACACACACACACACTCTCACCTGTGAAACTGGATGCTTTTTGAGTGCACAATGGGAGAGGGAGTGTTTGTGTGTACAGTCACCTGTGGCTGCATCAAAACAGAGCAGGTGTATAGAATGGCAGACCATGCAAACGCACACATTCCACATGTATTTCACTGGGACTTATGGCACAGAGGTTCCTGTGATGAACTGGGCCCCTAAAATTGTACACACTTCATAAATACTCTGACACAATTGCAGTACACCAATTCCATTGTTTTTTCAAACTTCCCGGATAATTAGATTGTTAAGATGTAAACAACGTCATTCAGAGTGGTTTGAAGTGAAATGGTTCATTCTTAACACTTATAAAAGCTACATCACAGAAAGTTAATACATGACATGAGCAAGAATGCACAACCTGATGTCTGAGACATTATTCTACGACAGTTTTGAGAAGATTTTGTCCTAAAATGTGATTTTTAAATCCATTATGACACTGAAAAATGGTGCTGTCAGGTACCGAGGTAGCATATTTTGTTTGTGTGCATCTACTTGGTACGATAAAATTATGAACGCTTTTTCTATGCAGAGCTTTTTGAGGCAAAATAGTCCCCAGAGAAAACTTTTTTTTCAGGTTTACCTCTATTTTACCATCATCAACATTACACATGAAAATATACAAAAGACACGTGGTAGGTTCACTGATCGTTTCAGCTATATTTGCATTGTAGACATCACAACCCCTGGTTTCTCACCACTGTGAATCATTATGAAAAAAAATCGTGGAATTCCCCTTTAAAAACATGCCTCAACAGTTAGCTTCCATCAGCACTATGCAGTCAGCCCTGATGTCTGTTTATCTCCTTCCTTTTCATAATGCTGCTCATCCATGGTAACCATTTCCAAACAGATCCTTCACAACCTGCAACATGATATATTTATTATTTCTAACTCTCATATCTTAACGTAAACATTAGTCAAAGTCAGGCTAGTGCCATCATTGAGATCAACTTGTTGACACATAACAGTAGTGAGTAAACAAGCAAATGACATTTTCACTGAATCAGGTGGGATTTCACTTGACCGCATGAATAGTCAGCTGTAAACACACCCAGGACGCATTGTAATTGGATTACAATCAGATCATGCCAACCACATTCAGAAGTAGTCAGAGACGAATCAACACAAGTGTAAATAGAATGCGTTTCTGTATCTGCATAACGGTTGCATAACTTTTATCCCCTCAAATGGCCAGGGCCCACCCACATGTCCAAAGTTTTAGCACAATTCTGTAACCTAAGAATAGCTCAGCCCAGTTTGCACTGAAGTCCATGTAGTTACTGAATAATAAGCCTTAGTATGTCATAAACATGGGATTTTAAGGGGTTAACTTCTTTCTCATATCCAAATAGTCCTCGGGACTGTAGAGGTGCTGACCAACACAGAAATTAAAGCCTTTTCTTCCACTGATGCGAACGATTCATTGCCTGTTTTAAACAGTTTCTTCTGATATTTAGCAGTATGTAATATGCTAGTTGTAACAGGTGAGAAACCATGTTTACAGTAGGTTACCAAAAGTAGAACAGAATGATATTTGTGTTGATGTGCTTTTTGTGTGGTAATTTGGCAAGTCACTGGATCAACTTGTGGGATACATTTTTGTGGAAAGTGTAAAAGGAATCCGACCAAGTACGTACAGATAGAGATCTGCACAGGCATGAAATTGAAGCACATGCCTTTCCTACACTCGCATGTTTGAAACCTGACTAGTCTTGACAGGTACTGCTAAATTTTAAACCTGAACACATTTATACGCAACAGAGACAGATTATCACATACATACTTTTACAGAGATTTGATTTACTAAGCATTTGAGTTGATCAACAAAACAAAATCTTTAAAACTCTGCTAGGCCTGGGCGATAGGGCGATATAATCGGATATTGTTGATGCTGAATAAGTAACCCTGATGGCGATGTGTAAAAGACAATAATCGCGGTGATAATTGGGAAAAGAACTGAGAGATAATCGGAGAGGACTAATTTACCTTTAAAAGGCTTGAAAATATGTTGGGAAATTGGAGTTCACCCAAGGTGCGAAATACAGGGGGTCCTGGGGGGGTTTGGAAGCCCCTAATTAACCTGAATATTTCAAAATAAAACTTCTGGGGTGTCGTGGAAAAAAAACGTTTTACGACAATTTTTTTAGGAAAAAATACACACTTAAACACAAATGCAAGGATAGGTCATTGTTAACCTGCTTCACGCATGAAGTGCTTAGCTTCTGTCTTTTGTATTCTAAACTAATTAGAGATGCAGCACTGCTCTGCCTCAGGGTGCTGCTGTAGCAAATTGGTTCACCCAATTGGCCTATGGCCAGGGTACCCCTGAAAAACTTCACAACATGCTGTAGCATATTTGTGAATGTGAAAACTTGCCCAGTTTCCCAAGAGCATAGTGGAAAGAGTGAACTGTTAATTACTTTTCAAACCAAAGACACAAAAGAAGTGTAAGACCTCAGTTAATGTGTGGAATACAGTGTTACCAAACTACAAAATAGCATTTCCAGAAGAACAATTGTTAAACCAAACATTTGCTGCCATCAAGCTAGCATCAGCGCCGCTATGGCTAGTGAGTTAGTAGCCAAGCAATGCCAGAAAAGTTAAAAACCTAATGCATGGGACCCCCTGAATATCACACTCTGGGTTCATATTTGAGAACCCTAGCAGTCAGTTTTTATCTGTTTAAGAGAGAGAGAGAGAGAGAGAGAGAGAGAGAGAGAGAGAGATTTTTTAAGAAGCTGTCTGTTACGCTCTGTGATGCTAGCTTCACCACACTGTTTCCTCTCCTACTTATTTTACTTCATGTTAAGTGCATATATTTTCCTAGAGTAGCTAGCTCTAACCTGGAGAAAAAGTTCTTCTGATCCCCGTCTACAACTGGTGTTCTCAGAAAAATGGTAATAAATAAAATTGAATAGTATGTACAAACAAAAATTTCATTCACTTTTTCTGTTAAAACACTGAGTTATAATGGGGCCTTAAAAAAAGCCTATGGTAGAGTAAATTCCCCACTATGATTTAATGAGTAAAATTTGCAGTATTTTCTATACAGCCAAAGTGCTCTAGTGGATAGCTGAATTATGAAAACACTGCTGTAATGACGGAAAACGCCTTGTTTTTCATTTGTAAAGTACGTGGCTTTTAAGTTCCTCATTAGCCATTAGTAAGCAAGTCACCATAAATCTGCACCAGAAGAAGCTCATGAATACACATATCTGCAGTAATGTTTACTATATTGATGGATGAAGAAGTTTTTAAAAGATGTTAAAAAAAAAACATATACACTAAAAATAGAATAGAAAGTGTGCTGCAGTGGATCGCATGTATTTGTTTGGTTGTGGGAGGGGGGCAGGGTTTGCAATATTATTGATAATCTTAATTTTTTTCTAGAAAATAGGCCAAAACACTTTGTCTAAAAGCTGAGCTTTTGCTGTAGCCGACACTGACTTAACTGGTGTGAAGAAGTACTAGCGGGTTTTCCATCCACCAGTTCTGAATGGAAAAAGCCAGAAAATTGAAAAAACACCCAAATATTGCAAAAAGAGTTTTATGCTAGGGCGAGGTGCATCCACAATGAATGCTCTGCTCTGCTATCATAGCTCAGAATACTATTGCAAGCTCTACAAATGTGAGCAATGTGCTTTTTATCTGATGTATTGACCAGGTCATAATGGTCCTCATTTATCATAGTTGTGTGAAAAAAGAGCGCAGATTTGACCACCTTTAAGGACAACAAACTACACTGCGTCTGATTCCTGAAACTGTCATAAGACGTGGAAACAAGTGGAGATTTGAGCACTAATAATGAATCAAGACTCCGCCTACCAGCACCTCATTTACATATCTTTTACCTGAAACATGTCCTAATTCATGCAGATGTTTGGGTAGGAAGCCAGCCAATTGCTGTGCTTGTAGGCGGAGTTTGAGGTCTAACTGTGAGTGTACTTCTCCCCCTACTGACCACACATTTTAGTGTTACTTTACTCTGTAGTCCTAGGTAGAATGACGTTATTGCGTATTGTGATTATTTTACTTACAATAACATGTTTAAATGCTGTATTATTACAGTGTATGAGACTGCAGTGTGTGCACTAGCTGTGTTTTGTATTTGCTATTTTTTGGCAGGTGTAGTAGTATAAAACAAAAGCAAAGGGTAATATTTCTTTAAATGGTACATAGTATAGTTAGTGATCGTTTATACCAATGTGCGTGTAAAATAAGTACATCCAATTTTGTACTGGGTTGCCATGCACACAAATTATTATTGTTATTATTATTGTTATGCACACAAATTATTATTGTTATTTTCTATTTTTACTCTTATTATTGGTATTATTGATGATAGTGATGATAGTTTTGGTTATGAGCATGCGCTCCTTTTACAATCAGATTTTAAGCGTATGCAGCTTTGATCATTATGGGCCAGTATTTCTACAATGAAGACGTCCTTGACTCATTCAGAGTTTTAAACAGTTCCTCTTTAGCAAGTTTTGTTTTTGTTTGATAACATGTTAGTAAGACCAGCTTTATTTTGTCAGCCCCCATCACGATAAGATGAAAACACATGTTAAAGCAAGGTGTACACAAGCTCAAATTCAACAGACGCACTTGCACAGTCTTTATCAGTTCAGGCTTGTGTAACAAACTGGCTGAAAGAGGAGTTATTAATCTCTCACCCAACACATAAACCACATAACCTAGTGGCTCCAGAACAGAACAGTCTATTGACTCTAAAACGCACTGTAACGTTTGTCCTGAATGGCTGTAGAGGCTGAAAACACTAACTCATTGTATGTAGTCCAGCTGGAGAAAGTTAACACTGACCCAATTTGTCCTGTAGGTCAAACGGGAGGTTGGTGATGTCACTATTTTGGTGAACAATGCCGGCATCGTCACAGGCAAGAAGTTCCTGCAGTCTCCGGATGCTCTCTTACAGAAGACAATGGAGGTCAACAGCATGGCCCACTTCTGGGTTAGTTATTCTGATTTACTCTCTCTTATTTTGAAAAAAAATGAATTTACATGATATCAGTTGGTTGCACATGTAAAACCAGTAAAACTGCTTACATTTTTGGCCAAGAATTGTTTTGATGTAAGACATTTTGTTCATGTGAAACGGACACATTTGAATCATGTAAAGTCAAAGTATATATTTTTTTCATTGCACTTTACATTTGTCTCTGTCACACACAAAAACATACATGAAGGTTCTGTTCTCACCTTTATAACCCAAGCACAGGAAAAGTGTACAGCAGAGGTGGATAGCAACTAGTTACATTTAAGAACTTAAAGAGCCTGTATCAGTAACATTTACTCAGTCCATACAGTCCATATATGCGAATGAAGCTGCAAAAACAGCCTGTTTTGAATTTAGCGTGTTTGTCATGTCATGAAAACCAATGCATTTAAATCTTGGCCTACAGCAGTTTAGCCCCCCTCATTCACACTGAAGTTACAGGGAGTGTTTCAGCCCAGACTGCTTTTTGAATGAGGCACAATACAGAACAGTCAATCAAAACAGATCTCAGCCGTTTTTTTATGATATAGACCCTTTAATTAGATTTGGAAATCATGACATGTTTTCCTTCCGTACTGTGAGGTATTTCTGAGTGAAACACGGTATCAAAACTCAAAGATGTTTTAAAGGTGGGAAAAAGTCACTGCACTTTGATTGAAGATTACATGAAAGCAAGAATTTTGTCTTTTAAATGATGTGGGATGATATGTGCTGCTTAATGCAGCCAGGAAGATGAACTAACAAGGTTTAAAAAAAGGTCCATTTTGATTTCCGGTTGATTTTAGGTACATTTTTGATGGATTTGTGCTTTTCTGAGTATTTTCAAATGATAAGTCCTGCTTATTTGTAAGGGAATCTGCATTTTACCCAGTTACATTTGGAGTTGTTAAAACAGCCACACTGCTTTGATGTTGCTCACAACTCTCACTCTCAAGTTTTCAAATTTTATTTTTGAACAAAGGATCAAAAAAGAGAAGAAGGGCACCTCACATGCTTCAGTTCCTCTGCTGGTAGATGCAGGATATAATAAGAAGTTCCCCTGCAGTTCTATGGGGAACTCAGACAGAGGAGTTTTTGATCTGAGGTTGCTCGCTTTTACTTCTGTGGGTTTTTTTGTGTTCAATTTGTTTTTATTTATACTTTAGGCCACTTCTACTTGAGTCATTATGTCATGGCAATTATAATACTTTTACTTGAGTATAGGCTTAGGCTAGATAGCCACCTCTGGTGTTCAACATAATAATCCTTCTATACAATTATCTTGCTTTTTTCTCCTTAGATGTACAAGGCATTTCTCCCAGCAATGATTGCTGGAAACCACGGTCATCTGGTCAGCATCGCTAGCTCTGCTGGACTTGTTGGAGTCAGTGGACTGGCAGGTATATACCCTCCCCCATAATGACTGTGACGGTAAACATTAACTCCTCCACCCCAACAACACTCAGAAAGCATCCTGTTTCACACACATATGTGTGTGTGTGTGTGTGTGTGTGTGTGTGTGTGTGTGTGTGTGTTTGACAGATTACTGTGCGAGTAAGTTTGCAGCAGTTGGCTTTGCAGAGTCTGTAGGTTTGGAGCTGTTGGCTGCAGGCTGTGATGGAGTGAAGACCACCATAGTTTGCCCCTTCTTTATCAACACTGGAATGTTTGATGGAGCCAACACAAAGTAAGATGCCCAGACAGTGTGTGCGAGTGTGTGTTTGTTTTTGTATATTTTCTTTTTCTAAAGAATTCAGAGAAACACATGGGGAACCTGCAATGTGACAACCAGCAAAATACTTTTTACGAAAGCTATTTTATTAGTTTAAAACTGAAAGCCTTTTCTTTTTGTTTACCAGTATTAACATAAATGTTAAGTTCAGGATCAAACTTAGAGAATTCTTGTTACATATACAGTGGGGTTCAAAATCTGAGACTACTAGGCTTGTTTTTTAATCCTGCAAATTTGTCATTTATAAAAAAATATAAAACAAATAAAAACACAGAAAACAAGTAAAATGAGAAAGACATTCAGGATTCTGTACTATTTTCAGGTCACTATTCACATTGAAACACATTTGTGACACTGACCCTGTTAAGGCCTTTGTACAAAAAGGTCAGATTTATTTGTTAGTCTTATTCCTTCTGTGGAAGCCCGCATTCAGACGACGTCCAGGTGGCTTTGATCTACTCAAAAAACTAATGTATCAGCAAAATAGAAACTTCACAGAAGACAAAAACTTTTGTAACATTTAATGAAGTTAATGTACAGTAAAGAAATGTAAAGAGATTTTATTTCAAGAGATTTTGAACCAATTCTGTTGATTCATTCATTGCATTTTCAAACAATGTAAAGAACAGCTGCTATGTTCAAATAAAGTATAAAAATAATAATTAAAAAAATGTTGATACATTGACAATATTCTCACCGAGCACTTTATTAGGAACACTACTAATACTGGGCAGTGCCTCCTGTTGCTCTCAAAACAGCCTCACTTCTTCATGGATGGATTCCACAAGATGTTGGAAACATTCCTTTTAGATTCTGGTCTGGCAGATTTTTCAGGTGCACCTTTATGCTGCAAATCTCCCGTTCTACCACATCACAAAGATGTTCTACTGGATTCAGATCCGTTTACTGGGAAGGCCACTGAATTAAACTGAAATCATTGTTCAATTTGTGTTGTTGGCTTACAGAAGTGGAAGCTGTGGTCTTCTGCTGTTGTAGCCCATCTGCCTCAAGGTTTGAAGTATTGTGCATTCTGAGATGCTTTTCTGCTCACCATAGTTGTATGGAGTGGCTATCTGAGTTAGTGTTGTCTATATGTCAGCTTGAACTAGTCTGGCCTTTCTTCACTGACCTCTCTGATCAACAAGGCATTTCCATCTGAAGAATGCTGCTCACTAGATGTTTTTTTCTTTATTGTCTAAGTAAACTCTAGAGACTGTTGTTCGTGATAATTCCCAGGTGATTGGCAATTATAGGAATAATCAAACCAGCCCATCTGGCACCAACAATCATACCACAGTCAAAATCACTGAGATCAGATTTTTTCCCCATTCTGATGGTTGATGTGAGCATTACCTAAAGCTGCTGGCCCATAGATGCATTATGTTATGCACTGCACTGCTGCTGTGCGATTGGTAGATTGCATAATTGCATGAATGAGTAGGTGTACAGATGTTCCTAATAAAGTGCTTGGTGAGTGTATATAGAATGCATATGGGACATATTACATATGGACACATATATACATAATACACATGGGACATATAACTAATAAATATAGGCACTTACATATATAATACATATGGGAAATATTAGTACATATATAGGCACATATAGAATGCATCTAGAACATATTATAGACACTTCTATGTACATAATACTCATTGTCATGTTCATGTAACCAGTTTGAGATGATTTTTATGAGACATATTATTACATTTAAATGCTTTCCTATATATATTACACATAAGGGCATGTTATTACGTATAGGTACCTATATATAGTTTAAAATATCTGACATTATTGTTACATCCAGATAGTTATATGTAACACATATGGACATTTGTTACAAATAGTTACTTCATATATATTAGGTTTGGGAATGCCCACACTATATAAGTTGTGAGATGTTATCTTGTGAGTGAGGTTCAACACTGGCCAGCATGCTTATGGCAAGGTAACGTGAAAGATCAGAGTTCGATTGAGGCATGATGGTGGGTGCCAAACGGATTAGACATTCCATTTCCGAAGTTGTGCGGGCATTTAACATTTCTTGGTCCATAGTGCCACATGTGTATGGGGAATACGTCATAGAAGGCATTACCACCCACATTGGACAGCGCAGTGGCCGCCCCTCAGGTGATTAATGATTGTGAAGGTGGCGTCTGGCTAGAATTGCCCGCGCAAAAAACAAGCGACTCACAGCAGAAATCACATCCACATTCAATGCAGGAGGCCCCACACGAGTATCCCGCAGGTCAGTGCAGCATTCTTTAGCTTCCATGGGATATGGGAGCAGAAGACCCCCAGAGTGCCTCTGTTAACACCACAACACTGGACACAGCGCCTCACGTGGGCTTGTGAGATTGCTAACTGGACCCTAGAGGTCAGGCAACATGTGGCGTGGTCCGATGAATCACGGTACTAATTGTTTCGAGCTGATGGCAGGGTTCATGTGTGGTGCAGACCCCAGTTGTCAATAGGGCAGTGTGCAGGCGAGCGGTGGTTCCATACTGGTGTGGAACCCTTCACTTGTGGAAACGATGCCATGTTGAGTTGCTGCACTTTGCTGGTCTAGAGGGGGTCCTACACGATACTAGTTCCTGTCCAATGACTTTTGGCACGTCATTGTATATATATATATATATATATATATATATATATATATATATATATATATACACACATACACACACACACATAGGACAAAATTATGACATCACATCCTGACATTATATAGAAAACAAAGTAGTGTAATGTAGGCTAGTACATTTACCACATGCTGTGTCAGCAAATCAGTATGCATGGCTAGCTCAGCAAGCTCCTTTTTAATTATAAAAGTTACAGCTTTATATAGTACATTTAAAGCGCTGCACAATTTGCTTGGCTCTATCTTCAGGCACTAGAGCATTTCAGCTTCTCAGAGATAAAGAGAGAGAGAAAGGAAAAGATAGAGATGGAGTGAGAGAGAGAGTGAAAGAGATGTAGGTGGACTGACAGGCAGACAGCTTTGGAGACTCACTAGCCCGGAGCGATGTCTCAGGTGTCAGGTTCTATTTGAATGATCAGTGTGTGTTTGTCAGATGTTGCTGAGGTGAACGTGTGTTTTGGTGTTTAGGGGCTGCGTAGGTGGTCCTGCCTCTTCAGAAGTTATGTTGCTGATTATTTTAATTAGTATCTGTCAAACCCAGCTAAAGTATTATCGTTTGCTCTGCTGGATGCTCATTTAAACATTAGGCACTATAAGTGAGTAGAACGATCACTGTCATAGTGAACCAGGGGTTGCATTTATTTAAAGCATCGCTGAGGAGGCAGGCTCATTGTGGATTAGAGCTCTGTAGCATACAGTTACACAACAACCATACAGTAAGCATACAGTAAAAACAACCAAAAAAAGTTACAAATGTATAATATACTGGCAGAGATTAACATTACATTTTAATGTAAAGTTAATAGACAATTCCATCACTGCTTTAACAGACTGTTCTGTTAAATAACAGTAAATATTCAGTAAGTACAGTAAGCACATAGAGAATAATTCCTTTACTTCATATACAGTTCATTGCATGTTTTTACATTTTTATCCGTAAGCATCTGAAAAGAGAAAAATCGTTTGTAAACTTCACTAGAACCCAACCAATATATCAGCTGACAGATAATATCAGCCATTATTGACAATCTGCAGATTTGGCAGTGTCAACGTAAATATCATTATTGTGCCAATAATTAGTGACCTTTTTGGACAGTGGCATCACCAGGATTCAAACTTCTGATATCCTGACAATAAAGCAAAACCTTACAAGGTTGCCTATTAAGAGTCCCTTTAGCAACTGCTAAGCTTAAAGTCACCACCTGTTTACATTTATCACAGCAGGACAGGCTCTACTACTAAATATGAGCACAAAACATCATCATGGTGAACAAAACAAAAATGTGAAAAATGTATAAACCTACGCTTTAACATAACATGCTGTAAAATGTTTTCTTCGCAGAGAACTGATGAAAAATAAGAAAATTCAATAAATAAATATTCAGTATTTATCAGTGAGGCTAACTAGCCACTCTTAATTAACATTAGCTAACTTAGCTAGCTGACTTTCATACACAGACTCCTTTCATGTCTAGTTTAGGGTCAAAACATTTCTGGGAAACTAGCACATGCTGACACTGATTAAGGAGGTTAACACTGCTGTAAAAGGTCACAGGATAATAATCAAAAAATATTCCCTTTCCAGCTGATTCAGTACTGTAGCCTTATATGTAAGTTAATGCTATGCCTAACTACAATATAGTTACAACCTTATTAACAACACAATTAAATTCATCACCATGTTGAAAAATTAACTAGGCTGTCTCTCTCTCATGAGGAAGGTGCTGTTATCTCCTCTAATCTTGTTTGACTATCTAGCATGCATCATGTGCTTGGAAATACAGCAAAGTTGCAGTTAAATGCAGAAATGGAAAAATTCTGTTTAAATTATACAGCGGAATAACCCATAAAAAGACACATTATGAGTTTCAAATAAACAGGTTTTCTGTTCTTTACTAAGTGCAGAAAAACATGTCAAAATTATTTGGAAACCCATTACATAGATTATTAGCCTTAATTTGAGATTTTTCAAAAACTAGGATCTGACCGATATGAAAACTTTAGGGCCAAGGGGGCTCCCAAGTGGGGCAGCTGTCCTAAGTGTTGGGCCTATAAGTGGGAGATGATGCACGAGTGATGCAACAGCCATCCGTGGACTTGGTCTTGCTCTCTCTGGTTATGGTCCTCCCCTACCGGGTGTCTGTTAGCTGACACAAGAGAATTAGAAGAGAGAGTTCTCCTCCAAGCACTGTCAAATGATGTTGTGTTGGCAGCAGTTCAAAAAGATCTGGTGGTGCTTCACATGACTCGGAGGAAGCATGTGTTAGCTTTCACCCTCGCATTGTGGTAACATTGTGTGACTGGGGGAGACCTAGCTAGTGGGTGGAAAAGGACATGACTGAAAATTGGTTTGAAAAAGCACATTTTATAACCATTATGGCTACTAATTTTAGGGGGCTAAAAATTCGGATAGGCTGTGAAATCAGCCAACAGTTTTTGTTTTAGGCTCTGATAGTTTTGTTTTACGCTCTGAGTCAAACAGTGTTTTACTTACTGATATGATTGTCAGTTCTAAATTATCCCACTTCCTAAACTCAATTAAACAACTGATACTTACAGTCTTAAATAATATAAACGCTGTAGCAGTGGGGGCGGAGCTACCCATAATGCTTTAAGTTTTTGCTTTCTGCTTATCATTATTCCATTATAACTATTCCATTAGTTTTCTTTATAAAAAGGGTTTTGTGTTATAACATGTTATTCTCATGATAAAGGTTACATTTGGATGTATTTTATGTTTTTGTATTACTTACCATGACAGTGTTTTGTGTTCAGATTGTCTAGTTCAGCCTGTATTGGAGCAATATAGCCAAACTGAGAGTGCAGTATATGGAGCTAAATCCCAAAAAACCAAAAGGTGCTAATGGCGATATCATCAGCCAATATGATAATATCATACGTCAATAATATTGGCCAATATTTTCAAGCAACTGATATATTGGTAGGCTCTAATACAAGCCCAGATCTTTCAGTATTAACTTCAAAAGTTCAAATAATTCATTATTCATTGTTCATTATTCATATATGTACTGTCTGTTATCTTCAGTCACTGAGGTCCTTTCTGTATAAACAAATTGCCATTGTAAATGAACAAAACGGTCAGTAAAAAGTAATTGTTAGTTGTGAATGTGTGTGTGTTTGTGCAGGTGGCCCCGACTGATGCCCATTCTGGACCCGGAATATGTGTGTAGAAAGATTGTGGATGCTGTTCGAAGAGATCAGGTCTTACTGTGTCTTCCTCGCAGCATGTATCTTGTCATCGCTTTGAAAAAGTAAGTTGCTCTTTTCTTCAAACTGGCCCAAAGTTTTACTGAATACTCCTATAAACTAAGAATAGCTCAGCCAGTTTACACTGAAGTCCCTGTAGTTACTGAATAATAAGACTTAGCATGTAAAAATCCAGGGGTTTTAAGGGGTTAACTGCTTAGGATACTGGACCAACATTGCTACACTTTACATAGACTAATCTGTATAACCCATAATGATACTCATACACGTGTTTATGTAAAAATATATTAATAATTATATACTACATTATAATGTACATGACCCATCACAAGTTTGAGTTAAGAAATATTTCATAAGTTCACTGTTACTTTTCTATTAGGTAAGAAAAAATACTTGCAAAAAACATTAACCAGCTCTCTACTACTAGTTTGGATATGTTTTGCAATGCAAAATATCATCCTAAGTATGAAGAGCAGGTTTTGCCTAAATAATGATTTGACAGTTTTCTTTTCCAAACTACTGTTAAAAGCAGATGCTCAAAATCTTTTGCTCCAAAAGTGGTTAAACAGCTTAAAATCCTAGGCTTATTAATTAGTGACTGAATAATGGACTACGGTGAAACTGTCTGAATTATTCTTGAGTTATAGAAGTGTGTAATGTGGTGGTTCAACTGAAAGGTTTGACTTCCCATCATAACAAGGTGAAACAGTGTGTGAGGTTTGCTAAGATCTACCTAGTTTTTCATTTACTTATGTAAGTTACTGCAAACTGACAGTTGAAACATGTTCATTTATGGACCCTTAATAACAAAAGCATGCTGTAATTTTGTATTAATTATCTGTCACTCATAGCTCATTGAAACAAGCAGAGAAATTGTGGAAAGAGCAGATTCTAAACTTTCAGTCCAGACTACATTTGTGTTTGAAGGAGAAGTGGAGCTATTTTATTATTCGAATTTAATGAAAATTTGTGTGTATAGTTTTGTTTTGTGGAAAGAAAAAAAAGCCATGTTTTTTGCTTGTCATTGCTTTACATCAAAACAAACAAAGTCAGAAGTTCAGACTCGAACTTGTCGATACAAAATGTAAGTCGAATGTAAATGTAATTTATTGTGTAACCCACTGTATAATTAAGCATTACAGCTCTAACTATACACATTTTCAGGTTTGATACAAATTTCAGTCCTGAGCTTAAGATTTAATAATCTTTAATAACAAGTTAAGCCCCAAAAGAGCTGTCCTTTGAGCTTGGGTGCATCCAGAGCAGAAGCCCTTTCCCTCCCCTCAAACTTTACTATATATATATATATATATCGCTGCTGACGGAACTAAACCTCATATCTCATTCTTATATCGTATATATAATGTTTTCCATTTTTCAGTTTTGGACGTAAATTGAAAATGTTTGTTGCCCTTTACATTGTGTGTAAACTTTCATGATGCATGGAGCAACAGAAAAGGCCCAAAATGACTTGGTAAAAATTCTGGTTCCATTGACTTACAATAAAAGTAAAGTATGTTTTTTCCTTCTTCTGTAAAGCTATCATTTTGGAAATACGAGGACACCTACGATATATAAATTACTATAGTTCTATGGTTATAGAAGAACCCAGTTAGATACAGTTAGAAGATTTAATACAGTTAGAAGATTTAATTTAATCAAAGATTGAGAAGCTGAAGTAGGTATTGGATCATAACTGAAAATACTGAATTTCCTGAAGGAAGCTAATTTACTCACACATACAGTCACAGTGTGTTGTTTATTTGCTCTACACTCTCAGAATAAAAAGTACTAAACTGTCACTGGGATGGTGCCCTCAAGGATACGTTCTCAGTATCTTTAATTAGAGAACATTGTGCTGTTTTATTATACAGTTTTAAAACATTAGATAATGAAAAGGTACAATATGTACCTTTAACCATTGTTGTACCGTTGAGGGTACATTTACATTGTTTGCACTTTTACTGTACAGTATCTCTTTTTCTGACAGTGTAATGGTATTTGTTGAATAAATAAATGTTTAGTGCCCTAGATAAATGGCTTTATGTATCATTTCCTTAGATGCCTACGAAGACTTTGGCATTGTATGGTACATACTATGTGCACATGTGTGTATATAAATGTGTACATATGTCCTGTGTGTATATGTGTGATTACAGTGTCTGGTGTGTGTGTACATGTGTGTGTGTGCTCTCTGCTGTTAATGCTCAGAGCTCTTTGAACTCTAGAATAATTATGCCAGCATTTAAGATTTTAATTAGTGACAACACAGCTTATGCTGCAGCTATGATGAGACCATGATGCAGTAATGGATAAACCACTTACCAGCCCGACTGATCGGCTGCCAGATTTCTGCCGCATTGTTCTGTGTGTGTGTGTGTACATGACTGTTTGATCATACTGCTCTTTCTCTCGTACCGTCAATCCCCTGCAGATTTACTACCAGTACTTACTTACTGCTATTTTTTAAGTATAAATACTTGCTGTATTTATTTCTACCTTTTGACTGAATGACCTGATGAGCTGGTACCATTGCTAAAATGATGAGCCTTATCTGGGGGTTATATATTTGCTTCTACTCTCTTCGTGTTGGATGTAGGTTTTTATTTAACACTATTGCAGTTCATTTAAGCAGTCCAGAGTCAGCAGTCATTTCATGAACACTTCAGTCAATTTACACTTAAAAAGGTAATGCATTGAATTTACTTCAATGTTGTGTTTACTTCTTTTCAGTTCAGGAATCAACCAGGATGTCCAAACCTTTGCATACAACTCTAACTTATTTCTATTTAAAGAAAAATGATGTGAAGATTTAAATAAATTCATGACCGCTCAAATTGTTACTTCTTGTCTGAAGCCACACTAAGATTTCCCTCCCTTCTACTACAGTCAACTACCAGTATGTTTCCATGAATCATGTTTACACTGAAACATACTGCTGAATGAATGTATGTTTTTGTTTAGCTGTATTATACTGTCATGTTGTTGGTTGTTTTGATGTTCCTTTCTTATATTTCTTTTTTTGTCTCTCAGTATTCTGCCTGTTAAAGTGGGATTGCTCTTGGGCGCCTATCTGGGAGCATTTGACTTCATGGCCAAGTTCAAAGGTCGCAACAAGAGCGACTGAGTTTGCCAACAGAAGACTGATGAAAGCCAACTGATAATGTCCATCCATACATCTGATGCCATAGAAGAGATTCTGAAGAGCATCTGCTGCTATAAGCACTGTGAAGAGGAAGTGTATAAGAGGAATAATAAAGCTATGAAGAATTACCATTTTAACAACTTTGCAAGTCGTTAGCAATCAAAGGCATTCCGTTATAACCGTTCTCAAAAGCACTTTTTACTGTACAGTTTGTGTTCTCTAGGCTATGTCTATCTAACGATTTAATGATACTGCTCATGTGTAACTGGATATTACTTTAGCATGTGCAGCCATAATGTCAATGTTATAAGAGTAGCGCAAGTCTTTACATAAATAGGATAAAACTGTCTGTATTTTAAGAAAATACTCACATATAAAATCTTTCATTTTGAAAAGCAAAGCAAGCACTGTTTACAACTGTGTTATGTCTATTTGCCTCTTTGTGAAAGATATATACTACTTGCATGAATGTGCCTTGACTGAACCCTTTAATTGCTCTTATAAAAACTATGCCTTTAAATATTAAATTTGATCTTCACTTTAAAAATGTGTGCAATGGAAGTGGGTGCTAAACATAGCAAAAGAGTTCACAGAATAAAACACCTCTTACTATAAAACCCACTAATGCAAGACTGGTGTGAACAAGACTGAAATACATGAGTTTGTTGTTGTGACTTCATTGCATGAGATTGTTCTTCAGATATTTACAGAATGCTTATTTTAATTTGCCTTTACGCTGTTTTTTTCACACAAATAGCTCATTTTGTAGGGGTGTAATTCTTATCACCCAGTATAAAATGCCACTGATCCATTTTTTTTGATGGCGCAACGACTCCGCCAAGCAATATAACTGCGTTTCACTGTACAAACACTCATGCTTATGATGAATTACAGGTCTTTGAAGAATAGTTACTTGAAACAGCTGAAAATGGAGCACTTCAATCAAATCTCCCTCAGTCCTCTATTATGATAACACACCATTGCTCCGTATTATATCATCATAACCTATAGCTGTTTAAAAGCTATTTCAGTGATTGCTCATTTTTAGCAATGACCATTTGCTCACACTGTGAAATGTTTTAGTATCAAAGTGGGGGCAGGCAGGGTTACAGTGGCTTCAAATCTGAACAACCACTGATGCAATTCTAACATGGGAGTATTAGCAAAAATGCTATTTTTTTCAGCTGTTCCAGAAAATGAAATTAATAATCACTTTTAATAATGACTTTTGTAGTACTGACAATGCATACTGGAATCAATGATTTCAACCATGCAAAACCAATCTGGCTGGAGATACACGTATAAAATGATTCTAATATTTTAGTTCTGTGCAACACCACATAAGTAGTAGGACAAAAGGAAGCTGTAAATAAAAATGTATCCAGAATGATAAATGGAGCCATAGAAGATTCTAAAATGACTGAGAAAGCTGTGCAGCATTAAGATTTATAATAAAAATGAATATAAAAAATTTGTTTCCATGCACTAAATAATCTGATCATAATCGGATTTCTGCATTTATCTGATTATTCAAATGGTTATGTAAACACCATACTCCAGTTTCTTAGATTGGAGTAAGGGCTAGAAATTATGAAATCTGATAAAGAGAGCTGGATTTTACTCTGATTTCTATTGGATTTCTCAGTCTGTGCATGTGCGAAAACAGACGGGTACCGGAAATAAGCAAGCAGCGTTGCTGCGAGACACAGCAAAACACTTTTGGAACAACGCTGAAACCAAATACATGCTTAACAAAATGAGGTATTTAAATATTCTTAATCTTCTAGATGATGTATGCTTTTCAGGTAAAGTGGAGCAATGATTAAAAAAAAGCTGCAGCATGAAGTTTGAGTTTTAATTACGTTTATGTCACGTCTTCTTCTGTGAGTTTATTGGCTGGTTGCAAAGCAGAAATCCCAATTATTGTCTTACTCATGTAGACTCTGAGTTTTTCCATTATCTGATTACCCAAGTGCATGTAAACGCATTGATCAAATCACTGACAAAATCTGATTTTCTGCAGTGATTGGATTATTAGGTGTATGTGAACACACTCATTGACAGAAAATGAATGTAAATAGATAAATATGGTATATTATTTATCATTTAATAATAATCACTTTACAGAATTCCTGAAATATAAAATAAAACACCAAAAATATATTTTGGTGTCTATAATACTTAAACACACATTACGTAATTTAATATTTACAAATTTTGTTAGTACGGCAAGTGATTTTAAACAGTATTGTCACTATATACAACTGCTGTCTTAACAGTGCCTATAATCCTGCGTCCTTTCAGTAACAGACTGACAGTCATGAGGGAACGTGACATGCAACATAACACAACAGCTTGTCCACTTAGTAACAGATTGGCTGTTCTTCTGAGTTCTTACTACACAAAATGTTACTGAGGCATTCACACATATTCTCAATTACCTAATGACCAAACTACTACTGAATCACAGCAATACAGTGAGCCTGCTTCAATTAAATGGAGATGACTCAAGTATGACCTACTGAGGCAACCGCTGCAGGAGCACATGTAGGATTTTATCGCCTTCATGTGGTCATTAAAGGAACTGCAAGCCTTCACAGCCTACAGGACTACATTAAAGGAACGTTTCACTGAAAAAGCAAATATACAGAACTTTGACTTTACCCCAAATATACTCAATCAGCCACCAGGCGGGGTGTCTGAAGTTTGTTTCTGTAGTTTTGCACCAGAGTTACAAGGCTGATGTAGCTAAAAAGTAATAGAAGTCTATGTCACCCAAAATCTTTTTTAGCAGCAGATTTGTTTATCTACCTTGTAGCTGCACTACAAAACTGAAGAAGCAAACTTCCGACACCTGACATGTCTTGGTGGATCGACTATGTTTAGGGTAACATATGTTTAACAGAAAACTACCCAGAAACCTCAACAACCAAATATAGAATGTTTTTCCATGTTTGTGTCCACCCTTTGCTATTATTACAGCTTCCATTCTTTTTCAAGAGACTCGCTTGCAGTTTTTTCATAGAAATCTGCAGGGATGTTTTTCCAGGCCCCTTGTAAACATCTCCAAAGTTCAGTCCTTGAAGTTGGAGTTAGGGTTATTATCAGTACTCCCATTCACAGATTTAGAACCATACTCCACATCTCAGATGTCCTGTGTTCTTCAGTGATCTTTTCTATTTCTTTTTCTCAGTAACAGCTTTTTTCAGCTACACATCCTTTCAGACCCACAGCATTGAGCTTTTCACGCAGTGGAAGGACAGAAACAACTGTGGATTTTTTTCAATCTGAAGAGTGGAGCTTAATTTTCTCTTATGTCTCAACGATAAAAGCTTTAAGTGCTGTTTATCAGATCTAAAAAGAATTTCCAATTATGTTTTTTTATAGGCACTGCAATTTAATCTTGTGTAATGTTTCCTGCTTTTATTCTGACACTTAAGGCTATTTATATTGGAATTTAATTAAAAGAACGAGTGGTTACTGACTTCTGCACAGTGCTGTATATGTAATACATACAATATATGTAAAACATATATGGATCATTTTACCATATTTTTATCATTTTACCATATTGGTTGAAAACCCATTTCAGACTTTTAACTGACTTGGACTTTAGACTAAAATCCCTTTGCTTTGAGTGCCCCTATACTTTAATTATGTTTAGTGTATTAAAATAAATTACTGAACATTTTGTCACTACCAAAATAATCATAACACTACTGAAACCAACAATTTGACAATTTTAGCTCATTTTGAGGCTAACTCCAAACTCTAGCCAGTACATGACTAGCAAACATAGCTTTCTACAGTTGTACACATAAAAAATCACAATCTTCATTAAATGTTTACTTAATTGCAGAAAATGTGTGTTTCGGTAGTGACACCTCTTACACATCGATTTTTTGGGACACATTTACTTAAAAAAAGTAGATCTAACTGCTCACTATGTGGCCATGAGGGCCAGAAATGCAGTGTTCCTGCTCTAAAAAACAAGTTTTTATTTATTTGAAAAAAATTAAGAATATCTAAGTTCAACTTTACAACTTCAAAAAGGTTGTTCAAAAAACTTTACAAAAAAGTAAAAATCTGGTACAGCCACCTCCATAGAAAGCACCCTATAAATGATGATTTTGTACATATATTAAGCTTATTATTATTATCTCAATTACTGCATTGGGCTTGAATAGAACATAATCTTTGCAAATACTGAAGGTCTGCTTTTTCACAACGGGACCGCAGTTTGAACTAATTCAGCAGAATGATCCATCTAATAAATAGCACAAAGACAAATTGGCTAAATGTACATTTTTAATTTCTTTGTTAGATCCATTAGAATATTTATAACCAATGGACAATGTACATCTTTTTTGCAGCGTGCAACCACATGGTCTTGCACTTCCGCTGGTGCTGTGCTTTAATATACACAATGGAAATACTTTTACACACTTAATTTCACACACATTTTATCCTGAACACACACACACGACCCCAGTGAGCTGCAGAGTAAAAAAGTCTTTAAGTCTTCCTTTCGGAAGGACGCGCTCATCCGCGCATACTGCACCTTCTGCAAGGCACAATATGTGCTCCACTAATGAATGACAAGCACAGTGGAAGAGCACTCTGGGAAACTGAGTTCACCGTGTGTCAGTAGGGCTTCCCTCCCAGAGTGGCTATTATTTCTTCCCTCTCTTTAGCTGTAGGCATGTCTGGCTTTATTCCTTCACGCCTGCGTTGTAGCATTACACCATGCTGAGAGAGTGATAGAGAGAGAGAGAGAGAGAGAGGAGAGAGAGAGGGAGAGAGAGAGAGAGAGAGAGAGAGAGAGAGAGAGAGGGAGAGAGAGAGAGAACATTACATATTCAGACAGTACAACAAAGTACACATTTACATGAAAACATAGGTGTTATTACTGAATAAATTACTGAATAAGTCTACAGTATCATTACTGAATAAGTCTCTAATAAACATATTAATAAACAATGGTAATAAATTACTTCATTGGATCACTAACTTTACATCACGTGAAGCACATACTTATTACTAAATAATAATAACATTAATGTTTTGATACATGAATACACAAACAAAATTAGTTTTAACCAAAATCTGAGGAAGAGATTAAGCCAGCTGATAACTTTAAAGTAGTTTTTGTACTATTTGAAGAAGTTTCTGAAACAGTGACTAATTATTAGTAACTGCACTAACTGTGAAAAGAATTTCATAATTGTATTAATATGCCTTTACAGCAGTTACAGTTAAAAACTAGTTTTAAAAGCATGAGAAAAGACATGGCAAGTGTGTACTGTTCTCCAGAATTCTCAATGGATATTTACAAGACTTATTATGACGTTACAGAGCTCGGCACAGATCATAGCTCACAGATCCAACTAATATTAGCCAGCCAGCTTACATTACCTGACAGTTGTTTTGCTGGCTAAAGCTTAGCAGTAAATGCCAGTGTATATGGCTCCCACTTCACGAAACCATGAAAATGAGTGAATGTAAACAATATGTTGTTTAAATAAAAGACTAAAATTAACTTTGTAAATGTCCTGTGAAGTAAAAGAACTTCCACTTGTAATTTGCCACCAACGTTAAACATTTTTTAATCAGAATGAAAAATAAAATGGAAATAATTCTACACTTGAGCTTGGAAAGCTCCACTGGATCGCTCTGATTTGGCTGATAACGTGACAGATGTTTTGGTGCATGGGGTTACAGTACTCACCCAGTACTTCCTGCAATTCTTATACTTCAAGAAGTATGCAGAGCACATGTCCTTATTGTAGTTATATGCATCCAGGCACTTTTGTGAACCATCACTCTCCTGACCACAGAACCAGAAATAAAGCGCATTAATAGAAGAAGTTGAATTACACAAAGTGCTTAAACACCTAAGACCTAACACTTAAGTAATATTATTACTCAAATTGAATGACTTTGTTTAAACATGCCCCCACAGCGGACTTAATCTAACTATGCCCTTGTTTGATTGCTGCTAGATCCTGATATGCACTTGTTCAAAGAACAGATTCAAAGCATAAACAACATGCATGCATAACGAAGTTCACAAGATTACACCACAAGTACAACTGATTAGGAAAGATAAACACAATATGACTTCGCTAAATGAAACCTAACCAAAACAATAATCGAGGAAATGTAATTTGTATAACTAATTATATTAATAAATTAATTATATCATTTTGACCCTTTGTCGTCACTTTGGTCATATTTAATTGGGCATCTATAGTGCATTTTAGCAATTTTGCATGCTAAAAGTTTGATAACAGACATTGGGAATCACATTCTATACCATGAAGCAACAGTACAGGCTACCACAACACCAATCTCACAGACTGACCTCAATGCAGGGGTTGATGTCCGCATTACGAACCTTTCGGGCATTCGATTTGTCATTCATCCTTCAGACACATCCGTCTAACCTGGAATTTCAGAGTTCAGTATGACTGCCCAAACTCAACGATGATCTTAGTGAAACCAAAGGTATATAAGGTATATGCTTTTAACATTTTATTAATTACCTAATTTGTTTCAGATACCAAAATTATCCAATTTAACATAATCAATGCTTCCAAAAAAAAGGAAAACATAAACACAGCCTTCTACTTAGGGTAATGTCACCCAATTTACTTTAGCAAAACTATGTATGAACAATGACATCAGAATCATATCCGTATTGGAAGTTAACCACGTGAAAAGTTATCAGCAGCACTGGACGGATTATTGGATTTGACCATTGTTTGATAACGTATGTATTGTACATTAGAAGAGCGGAGCGTTTAGGTGACATTAGGCTACTGTACTAAAATTGCAACATTTCATTAATGTTACTGTGTTTGTGACCCTATAGAAATAAATGTGTTTTTTTTAATAATGCTAATCAGGTGAATGTAGTCCCAATTTCTGCATTTCATAAAATGTTCAAGTCTCTGCACCGACAGACACATACATGAAAAACACTGAATACTGGTCCACATGTTGGTGCATCTCAAAAAAAAACACTCACAATCTAGCCCAACAATAACAAAGATCAGCCTGGAGAACTTGAGGGGACTGACACCACGCTCCAGCTATTGACAGTTGCTAATGCTGCTAATCCCAAATAGCCCAGGCAGTCTTCCCAAATTTTACTGAAATGTCCACATATTAGCTTTGATGTCTTGGTGTCCTAAACAACAAACTTCCGACGAATATTATGACAATTAAAATAAAAGTTCAACATACTCTAAATGTATAATATAATCATCTGTCTGCTGTATTTCTTTGCAAGCACACATGTCTAGAAGGTGAATGCATATGTACCTTCCCCAATGCTAACATTGCACCTGCGGTTTATTCATTCTGACCTTCAGCTACTGTTTACAACAAGCAAAGTTAACACTGGAGTGAGCTAACAGTCAGTGAAATTAACTGACACTGAGACAACACTGGAGAAAATACATGAAAGCGAACAACCCGTGGCTTTAAACCCAGAACACTCATTAATACAAACAGACAAGCTCACAGATAAAGACAGTGTCAGACCACCACACTCTTAGGCAGCTGGTTAGCTGCTTAGCTAAGCGTGCTAGCTGCTTTCAGGGACTCTCAGTAAGAGTAGTGAGGCACTGCGAGCTTTAGCGAGTCTCTATAGCTGTTAATATAACCTACAGGCACGGTCCTATTAGTGTCAGATATTCTGTGTAACTCACCGACACAAACAGCGCAGAGCAATCCGTACAAACAGTGAGAGAGAGGGGAGGTCTGAACGAGTGAGTGGCTGTGCTCTCACATCTCTGACTAACAGACATACAGGAGCTTTCCCCCTCGTGTCAGAGAGAACGTCATACAACACACACACACACGCACACACACAGCACAACCCGACCCGAGTACGATACGAAAAACTCGCTGACAGACAGAGCGGCCGACCAACAGGCGGCGACTCTCCGCAAACACGCCGGTTGACGGACGCCTCTTGCGGCCACTGAGACGAGGCTCGGGGCAGCTTTTAAGCCCACCTATCTATCGCTGTTAAACGCGGGGTGAGGTGAAGTCACTGCGATTGACAGAACCGCCGGCGAGTACCAAAATTTTGAATTTCAGTGGCGTTCGATCGGGGACGGTTAGACGTAAGAGTGACAGGCGGCTCAGCCAATCAGAAGCCGCCGGTGGGCGTGGTGTGCGGGTGGGCGTGGTGAAGGCCGGGTTCGGCTGCACCGCAGCGCATAGCCTACACAATGGCTGCTGGAAAGAGGAGAAAGCAAACAATTTTCAGGCCCGCCGCGTCCAGCAAAAAATATGAGAAAAAAATTATTAAAAATTCGGAGAACAGTTGAAAGTCAAGAAAAACGCCCCAGAAAGGATGTTAAGGCTCCCACGGTAAGTTTGGCGGCGGTTAAGCAAACCGTTACGGCGTTCTTGAATTAAAATATCGGGGTTATTCAAATTATGAGAGTGAGGGTGAAGCTAAGGGGGGAGAAAAAAAAGTTTGTGTTAATCAGCGCCCAGCTCGGGACCTGAGAGAAAAAGCAGCGGAGGGAAGAGAAATGCGCAGAAAAAGCAAAATAAGTTGTGTTATGAACTTCTTGTCGCGTCGCGCCGAATGCAAATGAACGTCAACAAACAGAGGAAGTGCTGGAGTTTTTAAAAAGTTGAGAGAGAGCGAAAAAAAAGTTTTGCAATTGCGTCCAGTTTTAGTTTTTTTCCTCGCTTTTTCTCTCTGTGAATATAATAAACGACGGAGCCGCGAGGACAGTTAGCCGTGACGAAGACCAGCGCGTTCAGGACAGAAAAAAGTGATCAAAATCAGAATGAGTGTGAAGCGGCCGCCGCTGCAGACCGTGCTGCAGCTCGCAGTTTGACACATTTACGTGCACCGCCAGGCGAGCACCGTAAACACGGCGGCGGCGGCGGCAGCGCGTTCCAGCCGAAGCGCGTTCACGGTCGGTCCCCGCGCTCGGCTGAAGTTGCTGGGCTTCGCGGTGAGGAGAGAGTGCAGAGAGGAGAGAGAGAGTGAGAGGCGCTCGGGTCCGCGGCTCGTATCGGAGGTGATAACGGCGTTTTTCCCGCTGAGTGCCGTGTGGAGGGGGGAAGGGGGGGTGCTTGTCAATATCGCAAACAACCAAAATGGAGGGAGAAAGTTTAAGGGGGCACTAATTGTGAGCTAAACATGTGTCCGTCTGCTTCACAACACCTCACACACACTCCCCCCACACACACACTCTCGGCGTGTGTACAGGACCCGGTGAGTTACGGTGCTGAGCTCTGCGTGACCGTGATTGTGTCAAAGTTTGTGTGATTGAGGGAGGGGGGGGGGCATAAGGGGGAGGAGGAGGGGGGTTTCCTTGAGAGCCTGTTGAGTGGTCAGTGGTGGTCTTCTGGCGTGTGTGGATGGAGTCTGAGCCGTGTGAGGTTTAGCATGTAGCTCTGTGATCCTGCCCTGTTGTTGTCATATGAGCGGAGTGAACTTGTTGCCCGCGTGAAGTCTGCTGAAGAGCCTCTCGCGCATCGCCGTGTGTTTTAACGTGGTTTTAAACGCAAATCGACGCTTTTCTGCGCGAGCTTCTGGTGCGGCGTGCTGCTCCCGCGAGGGGATGAAAGGAGGAGCACGTGTGGCATGGCTGGGTGTGTGAAGTGGAGGAGGGGGACATGGGGAGCAGTGGGGGTTGATACCCCTCATCCTTAATGCCCCCTGAGTGTCCTTCTCTGCAGTGACCGGGTTCACTGTGGCGGTGTGTCGGGGGGCTGCAGCTCTCAGACGCCGCGCTGGGGGGTTTAATCTTTTGTGGTGGTAAAAAAAAGAGGTTTTCCTTCGTTATTTTTGTAACGCGTCGTCTCTTGTTTTCCGCACTGATCGGTCCTGTCGGGGCTCCACGTGTCTGACCGCCTTTAAAGCTCGCGCAGCTCCGCGGGCCGAAGTCAGCGTCTTAAAAACTTTATTTCACCGAGTTGTTTTGATCAGCCTGTTGTGTTTGTAGGAGGAGGGGGAGGTGTGGAGAGCGCCGAGCAGCTTCGTTTAAGAAAAAAAAGCGCGTTTGTGGACGTTTTGGTTGAGCAGCAGTGAAACGCTGTTTTTGTTGTTTTATTTGATCGCTCTGTTTTGTGTTCTGCCAGGTTTAATCTAGAAAAAGGAAGAAAGATGAGTAATTTAATGGAGTAATCTGGAAAACAGCGTTTGCTGAAAGTGTTCCATATCTTTCATTTTTATCCTGGTTTGTTGCATTTTCAGTTTCAAAATAATTAAAGCTGTGAATGAGAGAAAAAGCACCTGGGCTGGTTTCACATTGAGTTATTTTCTCGCTGATAAGTGTTGTTTTTGTGGTGTATAATAAAGTCACAGTTCTGTTTTTGTGAATAAAAAATGTTTAATTAGGCTTTAAACAGAGAAATTTAAGTTTATAAAGTAAAAATATGTAAAGTTTAAGTGTGCATGTAAAAAAATGATGTGCAAGAAATTCAGGTTATAATTGTGGTTATTTTCTGTAATTTCTAAAGTTGGGCCATGAAAATTATTCATTCAGTTTTTAAAAACAACTTTTGTGGTGATTTTAAATTTAGATTCTGTTATTAGATCATTTCTGACTAGAATAAAATAAATCTGATAAATTTACAGCTCATTAAAATCATGAATGAATATTAAACACTTCTGAGAAATGATCTGAATTTTGGAGGCTGCATCGTCCATAATTAATGTGAAACTAACTTAATATGGAGCACTGTTTATCTAGTTCCCTCTGTTCATTCAACACAACTTATTACTAGTTTATAAATTACACATCTCATGATAAACCTGAAAAAAGATTTTCCTTATAATTAAATTAGTGATTTTACTGAATTCATGTCAGATTTAACTGTAAATTAACATAATTTACACCACAGAATTGAATCCAGTGTAGATAATTCCACAATTCCATTAATCTCCATTACTTGCAAACATTTTACCTAAAAAAGTAGGAATATAATTTATAAGGAATAAAAATGCATTTCTAATTCTTTTTAACTTAAAATGTCTTTATATTTAAGGTAAACAGTTATTAGAAAAAGTAAAGCTGAATTGAAACTGTAGAATGTAAATATAGAATTAAAATGCAACCTAAATTTTTTTCTTTAGTTTAGTGTTGCTGTCTGCTGAGTACAGTCAGGCAAACTGTGCAGGAGAACTATACAGCCAAATTTCAGAAGGTAACTGAAGCACCATGCCATAGAAGAACCAATTTTGATTCCCTGAAGAACCTTTTAATGGATCTTTCCTTTTGGAAATGAGATGTGTATGTTTGAAGAATTTTGTAAAAATGTATAGAAGCTCCAAATAAAGGAGAGGTTGTGTACCAATTATAGTTTTTTTTAGAACCATAAATCCAAGACTAGAACCATTCAGGAACCTTTACTTTTAAGCGTGTGGACAATATAGTCTCAAAGTGCTGCTGAAAGTGAAGCATAAGATAAAATGATGAATAGAATAGATATAGATGATTAATGAAAGTATAAAGCAGCTGGAGAGGATGAGTATGTAGTGTTAGATGAAGAAATACGAAGGTTCTCTAAAGTCCATGAAAGAAAAAGAACACTTAAGCAGTGCAAAATATCACTCACTGTCTTAATGGGGGTTCTTGGGCTGTCATTTTCTTCCCTATTTCCAAAAAAATATGATATTGGTATATATTATTATATATAAACTAAGATTATCATATCATATATAAAATATGTTGGTAAAATACTATTAGAGCATCAACAACACCTGCAACACAGAATCTTAATAACTTTACATTATTTTAGACAACATTAAACACTTAACATTAGTGCTATTTGCAAAACTTTGATTTTTGTTTGTATTTTTCTTTTTTGAAAAGCAGTATTTACATAGTCTGTTTATTGAGTAATTCTGCAGTGTGATCTACTGCTTAGATGTCCAAAATTCCTTTTAGTGAATGTGTTGTTTAGTGAATATATGTGCTTGTTATAAGTCCAAAATAGCCTTTTATTATTCAGCCTAAGAATTAACAGAATGGAAGAGGGTTTGTAATTTAATACACTGGACAGCAGTTAATGAAGGACACTTCAGGGCAAGCTTGCTGTGTGAAAATGAAGAAAATGTAAAGTTTGGTCATCAGACTTCATGGCCATTTGCCTTGAACGGTGCCACATGGTATTACATTGTACCAATGGATCATGGACCGCTTAATACATAGAATATGATTAATCTCTTTCCCGTGGGGTTGTAAATAGCTGCAATAGGCTGTTGAAAGCTGCTTGCCTAAAAGCTGTGCATGTTTCAGTGTCTGATCTCTGTAATATCACAGTCATGCTGCCACCACAGTCTTCTGCCTGCCAATCAGAAGCCCCAGGCATTTGGTCTACCTAGGCTACCACCACATTATTGTGACTTTTGGTGACTGCTGTCATTTCACAGTATCTCACACATGAACAGTCAGTTGTGATCTGGTTAGTTTTTTTGAATGCAGTGTACTTTATTCCTGTAGTTTCCTATATTCCAATATGTCCTATACTTTGTTCAAGCTCCATACTGGGTTCTATACACTTAGGGAAGCTTAATTATGCTCTCTTATGGTTGCTTCCTAGTCTGGACTTGATGCAGGACAAAGATTGATATTGTTAAAGAATGTGTCTACTTTGAAATTGCACAATCATATGTTCTAAAATGTAATCACTTGAGGCTTATGTTGGCGTTTTGTTGCTATTTTCATATTTCATTTATGCCTGACACCCAGAGCAGTATTTATCTTTATTTATTGTACTGCACTGTGATAACTGTAGTTGTTTTGACTGTTTCATGTAGATCAACAGATTTTAAACAAAACTATGAAGCTGACATGCTGACTGTGAACTGTAATTTCATTACATGTACAGTCATATGCAGATATATAAGTTTCAACATCCCCAGTCAAATCATGTTTTGTTGTGTGTGAATGTAACATCATCTACAAGAAAAAAAAAACGAAATATGGCAAACTCCTAGTTCAAAGGTTCTATTTATTTGCTTAGTTTAACATACTGAGGGGGAAAAAAAACATAAAATACAAATTTTGCACAGGCCACGTTTTGTTTCCCCCCCCCAATATGTTAAATTCAGCAAATAAACAGTATTTGTGCATTAAAGTGTACAGACGTGTGTTCTCTGTAAAGGATGTTTTCACTTTGAAAATCAACAAAACGTCATTTCACCAGTGTTGCCCAAACAGAAGGTCTAGGATTGATTCTACATGTGGCATTTGCATCTGAAGTTGCTGCTGTCTCTCAATATGAAGTGTCAATGTAAAGTCGGCAATCATGATTATTGCTATGAGTTATATCAACTGTTTGGTACAGTGTCAACATAAGTTACAAAACGTAAAGCACTACACCATGAGAGGGCATGCATTACTGTGGTTTTATCACAGGTAAGGGCTGTTCTTGGGCATGAAGCGAAGAACAGCCCATTATCTATGGAAAAATGTCATCAAGTGTGGCATCAAGCAGCATATTGCTTTTGCTAAAATGTATCTAAAAAGCCTGTACAGTTCTAGGACAAGGTGTTATGGACAGATGAATTGGTGATGATCTTGGACAAAAAGTGATAGGAAAAGTGTGGTGAATGAGACCATCTCATCTTTGAAACATGGTAGCATGGGCATGTAAGCCCACTCTCTCACTTCAAACTCTACCTTAATTGATGATTTGACTGGTAGCAGCAGCAGGATGAATTCTCAAGTGTACAGAAGAATCTTCACTGCTCAAATCTGACCAAATGCCTCAAAACTCAGAAAGGTTTTAAAATGTTCTTGACTGGTCACCTGACCTGGATCTTACTGTGCATGCATTTCACTTAGTAAATACAAGACTTAAGGCAGAAAGTACCTGAAATAAACAGGAAGTGACATTGGCTGCCTGGCACAATATCAGCAGGGATGATATGCAGCATCTGGTGATGTCTATGGGTCACAAACTGGCAGACAAGAATCTGACAGTTTTATTATTGTAAGATTATTTTAATTTGCTGTTTGGTTCCCTGACCATTAGGACTACACGGATATTTTATATAGCTTTGTCAATATAGATGTAAAAGACCTTAAAATGATTTTAAAAATATTTAAAATAATAATTGTTTCAGCATTTGGTTACATTCTGTACACACTCCCCTGTATCACCTAAACAGAGTCATCTGTGCACACTTAATTCCCCATCTTAAAGGATTTGAATACACGTGAAATATCTGTCTGAGCCCGACATTACACGACTATTTCACGGTGGGTCAGATTGGGTTCTGATAACAGTTCTCAAATGTTTGTCAGGCTCAATTAGGGTTAAAATTTCACAACTCGCCCCTCTCACAACTCCTCCCTCACTTTTAAAGTATTTTAGCCTGCATTTACTCCTGCGTTTCTTCTGATTTTATTATTACTTGTTATTGGTTCTTAATACTGGCACTGGATACAAGGGAACCCTACCAAGCGCCCTCATTAGGACTTAGAACTGAAGGTTAAAAATCTTTATTTTGTGCAGTTCATCGCGACTAATCGCATTTGTCTTATTTTGTCAGGTTTGACCCTAAAGAGAGACTTGTTCCATTTAAAAAGCAGCGCATTATGTTATGTTATCTATATAAGACTTTTCCTAAAAGCTGTTGTAATTCAAAGTGCTTTACAGATTTGAATGAAGAAAAATGATGACTATTCAGTTGTGGCATGATCTACTAATGAGACAAGAGCTGAAAGGTTGCTGGACTGGGCTGTTGTTTGGTTCTGGTAGGTTGCAAATTTTAAACAGTCAAATTACTTTAGATGGAAAAATTAAAGGAGAATTTCATTGATTTTTCAAAAGTTTTGCCTAAATGAATACCTGAGATGGTTACCAATATCATTCATAGTGGTTTGATCTGAAATGGTTCATTGTGGAAAAACTTACAGAATCTTTACAGTAGTGGTGAAAGGAATTAGAAGTCCTTAATTAAGTCCGTAAATTAATGTCCAAAACAACCAGTGAACCTACATGTGTCTTCTGGGTTTTTATTTGTAATGTTGAAAATGGTAAAAATATTCAAAATTACAAATATTTTGCCTCATAACACCCTGCATGTACATCTCCACCATGAATGGATTTAAAAAGTATCTAATGTATCTCAAAACTATCCATTCATATCCACTTTGTAACTACTTCATGCAACAGCTTTGTCATGTTGCCTTTAGATGCTCTGATTCCTGTCACCATAGCTTTGAACTTTAAACTAGACTTTACGTTTCTCTAGAACAGAGCTTTTCACAACAAACTATGTTGATGTGAAAATACTAATAATTAGTGTTGGGCGTTATCTCCTTTTTTAATACCTTCAAACGATTTAGGCAAGCAGCAAACAATATAGGGAGGCGGGGGATTTGAGATAATGCAAAAAGCATTATGTCTGTTATTTCAAAATAGAAAAAAAAAGTAGTTCACTTCACATGGCTACCAAATAAGTGAACACAGTGCACAATTTTCAAGCCATCATTCAAAACATCTGTCGAACAATTAATATATGTTAAGCAGTGCTGCTAGCTAGGAGAATATACTAACTAGCTCCTCTCTTCTGGCTAGCAGCACTGTTTAACATATATTAATACTATGCTAGCAGCTCTGGCTACCACAGAACATGACCACAGACCTAAACAGTGCCGCACATCACAGTACAGTTTTGATTCTGAGAATTGGTACTCTGTTAACGCAAGTTTAGATGGTAAAAATGCTTGAGAGAGTAAAAGTAGAGAGTGACAGTTAGCGGAAATTGAACCTGTTCTCTGGTGTTTTCGGAGAGAGCTTAGTTAGGAGGTGTTTACAGAGAATGTGGTTCTGATACTAGCTTTTTGCCATGGTTAAGTTGCTATCATGTAGATGAAACTGTGCGGTATAAAATGTGCTGGCAATGTTCAAAACATACGGATACACATAAAAACAATTTCACCAAATTGTATATTGAAAACCATGAATTAAATTAGCAGCACTATGCACTTTTTGTTTGTGTAAACATTAAAATAATAATACAGCCAATACCTTATTTAAATATATGAATATCATATCAAATGGCCATATCAAATGTGCAGTAACAGTAGAGGTGGTACCATTTGGCCATGAGAGGTTCAAAAGGTTCAAACATGAGAGCTTTCAAATGTTTTACCATGTTTTTAATGTTAGTTCAGTACAGACTCAGCTTAATAATGGCTCTGATTTCCCCCGTTTCTGTTAGTGCTACCTATAGGTGAGCTCCTACAACACCAATCAGTGAGCCCTCTAAAATATAAATGTACGGAATGTGTTTATATATCTGTTCAGATGTGGAACAGCAATTTGACACGTAAATTTAAATAATTGTTAAGTACTGAAGTATACCGTATTATTGTCATACCGCCTAACTATACTCTGAATGACTTTGTTTACACTTTAGCCATTTAATCATGCTGAATAAACGCACACACACAAACATGTCTCCATGAGTGTAGCCTCTTGCTTTCAAACTGGAATTCCTTTTGTCAGTTTCTCTCCTGTGAGCACTGTCCATCATAGTGGGCTGAATTTTCTGATATTGCCACATTAGCAGTGTTTTGCTCATAAACAATTCTTCAGACTTGGTGTACTTCAACAATAAATAAGTTCACGGCATTTTGGTAGCTATATCTTTGTTTTATATCAAGAAAGCCATCAATGGAACTGTCCATTAAAAGTTATACTTGTATAAAAGGACTACAGTAGACAATCGTCCAAGCAGCTGGGCTTCAGGGTGGAACTTAAGATGGTTTGAAGGACAAACTAAAAAAAAAAAGTATTAATTGCATTAAAAACTAGTGATGTTAATAATTTATCATGGTAATTTGTCATTAAACGAATGTTTAGTTATATTCAGTCTCCGGTAGGTGGAGGTTAGATTCGAGTCGAGTGTGGACACATTTTTGTCAGGCTACAATTGGATTTGGCTTCAAAACATGGTGTTGTGGGTCAGGCTGGACTCCTGCAGAATGCTTTCAGGCTGTTTTGTTTAAGATTAAAAATTCAGGCCTGATTAAAACTTTAGTTAGATCTCTGCAATGCTGGGATCAAGAGTAAGAACCAATGTTCGATTTTGCTCTTTGACTATTATTTTCCTTCACTTTTTGGAACTCAGCCAGCATCCTCTCTTATTCCCTCAGGGCCTGGTCTCTCTGTGGTGTTGAAGATTCCGCCTCTCTTGCTCTGTCAGCATTCGGACACATTTCTCGTGTCCACCGCGTGGCTGGCCCGTGCTAAGCTGCCATGGCCACGGTCTCCCCTGATGATGACTGCCCCAACCCGGCAGAGCGCGACCGAGTGAGGAAGAGGAGGCCAGAGGGCAAAGGGAGGAAGAACTTCCTGTGTCAGCTGTGTGAGAAGGCCTTCAACAGTGTGGAGAAGCTGAAGGTGCATTCTTATTCACATCACGGGCGAGAGGCCGTACCGCTGCACGCACACCGACTGCACCAAGGCCTTTGTCTCCAAGTACAAACTGCTACGGTGGGTCTCACAAGCCTTTTTCTCAGTCTCATTATGGCTAACAAAAGCACAGCAAACACACATAATGAAACAATGGGTGCTCTCTTACGTTAAAAGAGAGGCAAGCATTAAAACAAGATAAAGACCTGCTACTTTATCCTTGGTGGTCCCCAGCAGAAGTGCACCAAGTTCTCTTGAGGGGGCACATTTTTACAACTTCATGACCTTGCGCAATATTGTCACAACTCCAAAAATACCCAAGCTATGCAGGGATAAGTATATAGGATCAGATAAAAATATCTTCTGAAGCAAGAATCAGGATGGTGGACATGAAAGTCCAACATACTCCAAAATACTGTACGTGAATTGATTCAAGTTCAAACTGACTGAACAGCTTTATCCAGTAGAGTCATGTTCACAAAGTTTCAGCCTCAGACGCTCCATTTACGTATTTTTACATGCTATTCTGGCCACCACTGTAGGGATTTTGTCAGTTGCATTCTGATTGACTATCCACACTTACGTGTGTACACAGTTCCATGCAGTGGGCTGTATCTGTCCAACGAGAAACACAATTACAAGAACTGTGATTGAGACTTTCAGAGCAAGGACTGGACTGAAAAAATACAGTTTGTGACAATCGCAGCATTACATCTTTAAAGGTTAGAGTTTTTTCAGAGGCATTAAGTAGCTTTAAAGTGAGTCATGCTTCTGAGTTTGTTTCCTGAGGTTTTTTGTTGCAGTCCTGTTTTGAAAAACTGCCCACCCAGACTCGTCATGCTGAACTAGTGGCCTGTGGCTGGTTATATGAGGTGATCCCCAAATGGCCTTTCCTGTCATAGTAGCGGTTAAGTGGCAAAATGTACCAGACTTTCTGATGATATGCAGAAGTCTGGCTTATGAGACTATGGTGCACATTATTTATGAATTAAATGATAAATACTTCAGTCACTTGCGTGAACAATGTAATGCCATATCAAATTGGACCTTCTGTGGTGTCCTGTATGGAAGAAACCAAGCCAGTTCCCAAGAAAGGTTAGCCTAATGAAAGTGGGAAACAAATACAGTAGCTACACAGAAAGCATTGTTTCTCTGTATTATCACGGTTTATCGTAGGCCTGCGCCTGGTGACGGTTAACCGAGGTGCAGCGACAGCAGTTCTCACTGATGGTTAAAACTTGTTTACCACAGCTTTATGGTCAGAACATGACAATCACTATCCAAACAGAGGAACATTATGCAAATCTGTCCATGATAGATGGGAGAAAATTTCCCAGGTTAGCTGTTTTTACCAGCTGGTTAAAGCAGCACTCTCACATGCACAGCACAGCCACGATTTTTGTAATATGCATAATTTAAAAAGAAAACAGATTATTTATAGCTGTCTGGTGAAAAATGCTAGGCCATCTGGTTACAGGTGCTAACCTCAGCAACATCAGCTTAGTGTGAGCAGTAAACATGTTATTTATTAACATATATATCATATAATAATAATATATATATATATATATATATATATATACATACATATATATATATATATATATCATATTATATTATATATATATTAAATGTATAATATATATATCAAATATTTATCAAACATTTTTATCAAGGAAATTTATGTCAGAATAATTATCGTTATTGTTTTATTGCCCAACCCTACACTGATACCACATTAATTGTACCTAGTATAGATAAACTTGTACTATGAATGCAGCTGGGTAAATGTGCTCGGTGCAGCAGACCTAACATGCCTGTACAAAAAGCTGCTTATGTTAAGGTGTACATTTTAGCACATCCTGAGGCCACAGCATCAAGTTTCACACAGGTAAAAAAGTAACGTCTCGGCTCTTGTAGATCAGGCAAAACTGGCCTTTTCAAACAGCCTCAGGCGAAATAGCTTTGAAGAAGACGGTATCAGACGAAGTGACCAAAAAGATTGTGCTTGTATACAGTTTTGTTCTTTCTTACTAGATTAATTACAGTTTTGTGGCCAAATCTAAGATGACAATATACCACAATGTTCTTTAACTTGACAATGATTAAGCTTCAACTCACATGATATGTGCTTCCTCCTGTGTCTGCTTCAGTGAAAGGACCTGTCACAAAATTACTGGACAAAAAGGTTTAGGAAATACCCCTCCTCCCAGCCTGGTTTAACCGTTTACCGCTATTACTTTCCACACCATTACCCGTATAAGAGGACTCTGGCACACTGGCACAGGCCTAATTTATTCAGTATGTTTCCTACAATCCCCAACGCAGCCTTATTATTTGTCATCATACCTGCACTCTTGCTTGTTTCTACAGGCACATGGCCACACACTCACCAGAGAAGACCCATAAGTGCAGCTACTGTGAGAAAATGTTTCATCGCAAAGACCACCTGAAGAACCACCTTCACACGCATGACCCCAACAAAGAGGCCTTCAGCTGCACGGAGTGCGGAAAGAGCTACAACACCAAGCTGGGATTCCGCAGGCACCAGGCTCTGCACGCCGCTCACCGCGGGGATCTCACCTGTCAGGTCTGTCTGCAGCCATATCCTAGCACCCCACTGCTGCTGGAGCACCTGCGCGGCCACGCTGGCAAAAGTGCTGCTGGAGCCAAGGAGAAGCGGCACCAGTGCGAGCACTGCGAGCGCCGTTTCTACACGCGGAAGGATGTACGGCGCCACCTAGTGGTGCACACAGGCCGCAAGGACTTTCTGTGCCAGTACTGCGCCCAACGCTTCGGCCGCAAGGACCACCTGACCCGCCACGTGAAGAAGAGCCATGCCCACGAGCTGCTGCGGGTGAAGGCGGAGCCAGTGGAGCTGATGGAACCGCACCAATCTCCTACGTCGGGGTCCCTCGCGTTACGCTATCCGTTAGGTCACACTTCCTATTCTCCGCCACCCCCTCTGAGAGCTGAGCTTGAAAGCTATCTCTTAGAGCTGCAGGCAGAGGAGACGCCCAAGCTGAATGCTGCTGCTGCTGCCACGTCCGCTGGAGAAACTACGCCATCTTTGGACTTCCTGTCTCCCTTGTTCAACTTCTTGCCCTATGGTCAAGGGGCAGGGCCTGCCTTGGGGGTTTCTTACAGCCAGGAGGAGGGGCTGCCTGTGATAACACCTTCTCAAGACCCGGCTGACCCTCTAAGCTCGCTTCATACGCTCCCGCACCCACCCACGCTTACACAAACGCACGGGCTCACTGCTAATTACACGCACTCACAAAGCCTGAATACAACCACCACCCTGCCTCGCTTCCACCAGGCCTTCCAGTGACCCAAATATATATGTACACTTGTACTTAGCTACCTTAGCACTTACTCAAAAGCATACCTACACTTTACCGTCAACTTGGCACTTAATTCTAAAGAAAAAAACACAAGGCAACACTCGTTTCTCAAGCCAGTAACACATTTTAAAACGTGCCTTTGAGAACATATCACATACTTGTTTATATCTACTTCAGTCTATATCTGGAGGCGTTCTAGCAATAGAGGATGTTGAACATCATCTGATAGCTGTCATTCAAAATGAAATAATCACTTTGTCAAAAAAAGCATGTCTGCAAAGCAGAGCTCAGTTTGCAGTGAAGTTTTGCTCTCAAACGCTGAGATCATGTAGCTTTCAAAACCCTCCCATTTAGCACTTTGAACTTCAAGTGATGAAGTTCCATCAAAGCTAAAAAAAAATTACAGAGATTTTTTTTGTTGTTTGTTTGTTGGCCCATAAGCTGTTGGGTACTGAAATGCCAGCATTTGAGTGACAGTGTCAGAACTCTACACAGCCAAAGGCAACCAAACCCCTCAGAGCCAGAGTGAGGAAGGCTCATCTCGTTTTGCTTTTAGTTTTTACTTTATTTTATTTTTATTATTTTTTCTTGTTGATGTTGTTGATGGCCATTTGCCTTCATGCTGCTGCTCATTTTAAGGGCCTGAAACTATCAGTGCAGATCTGCTTCACAATACAAAGCAATAAAGGGAAACATGGACAGACTTTATATTTACAAAGACTCTCAAACGTACACACCAACGTTAAGCACTCTCCTTCTCCGTCTCTTTGTCTGCCATTTCCGTCTTTATTTTCCTTCTCTTTGCTCTTCAGATACCAACACAACTCTCAACCTCATCCACCAGAATGCTGTCCATTGCACTGATTCAAGTCAAAAACAAAACAAACGCATTAAGTTTAATCTGTGCATACACAGAACTCTTAAGGACAAATGCAGTTCTACAAATATCTCTACAGTTGCCATTTACACAGGCTGTAGAAGCCCATCTATGAATGAAACAGTCCTTTTTTATTTCCGCAAAACTCCCAGCCAAACCCCTCTAGGAACAGATTTTTTTTTGTGTTTGAGTGCGCGTGTGAATTTTTGTGAGGTCATGTTTAAGGTGACTATAGACAATAGAGATTATAGATGGTGCGTGTTGAGTGAATGGTTCATGTTGAATTTTCGTTGGGAGCTGAAGGTTGTTGGGTGCTGGAAAGCCTCCATGTTGGGCATATTTTTCATAATAGCACTTTCTACAAAAAATCGGATGCCTTTGTTTTGTCCTGTTATGTTTTTTTTGTGTTAAAACCTTTGTCATGAACGGTTTAGATGTCATATATATAGCTCTTTATCAGATTGTTAGCATGTATATATAAAATGCTACGTGTGATATTTTTACAGGTACACTTCATACAGTGTTTTAACTTTGTACATTTCTCCTGTTATTTTGCTTTATTGCACAAAATGTCTGTGTCTCTCACTGAGACTTTAACTTACATGACAAAAAACAAAAGTTTGTTCCACCCATACTTCTTCAAAGCACTTCCTTATTTGTTTGTTTTTTTTTTCCTTTCCATTAGGTTCTAAAATGGTTTGTATAAATCTATTCATGAATCTAAAGCAGTTTGTAAATACTTCAGTATTGTCGAAAGTGTATAGAACTGGGAAGACCGGAATGCCTCAAAACTTCAAGGTGTAAAACAGTGATGTCATTGATGCTGCTGAGTGAATGACTCTGATTACATGGAGAATCTGATCTGAATTGCTCTGTTCCAGGGCGTTTTCACTGGGAGACACAGACCTTTAGCAATTCAACTATTCAGTTTCAGTGGTACCATCATTCTGCGTGCGCGTATATGTATGTGAGGGTAACACAATCTCTCTGTTTTGGATAATGCTGCTAATGGACAAAGTATAGCCCTTGATGGCGCAACAGAACTTCTCTCCTCTAGTTGTTGTTGTTTTTTTTTTTTTTCTTTTCAAATCTAAGACTGTATGCTAAGGAGGGAGCAGGAGTGTCCGTCTGCGTTGTATTGGGACGTGTCGGGAAGAAGGCGAAGCCTTTATTCACAAACCTGTTTGGGAGCTGGACGTTGCCATAGTAACGTTCACAGGGTCCGAGCGGAACTGACCTCTTAATCTCACAACCTGTTGAAGAAGAGAAGAAAAGGAGAGAGTGTTTAGTTCAAGAGACAGCATTCCAGCCATAATGGTGTTTTACATTGTGTCCTTTTATGTCCTTATTGTTTTTAATCACATTTCTGTAATGCCATCCTGTGATAGTGGCTATTGCTAATCATGTATATGTTACTTTAATGTACTTTTACAAACTACTGTTGTATGTGTATAGCCCAAGACAGAATGATTCATATATCTCTATATGTGTGTGTGTGTGCGTGTGTGTGTGTGCGTGTGTGTGCGTGTGCATGTATTTGTAATGAGAACTTGCTGCTGCAGCCTGCATTTCCTTTCGTCTCCTCCAGATGACATCATCCAAAGAGAAAGTTATTTATTGGCTGGCTGGGTGAGCCAGGTGTGTGTCGTAGAAGGTGAACGGCTGGCTGTTAGCGTGTGTGTCTGAGAGAGCGAGAGAGCAGGAGAGAGAGAGAAAGAGATTGTGTGTCTGTGTGCATTCAGACGACCTTTGCTGCTATGTGAGGAGAGGAGAGATTCGGTCCAGTGTTAATACTGTCCACAGTACTGAGCTCAATAAACATACCAGAAGGACTCACTTTACTAGACTTTTTTTCTTGTCTCTATTTGTAACAGATGCATGTAGATAATCATCTTAAATAAGGGTGGGTCAATGTTTCTGGCTAATATTGCGATTTAAACACGAGTACTGCCTATAAATTAACCCCTTAAATCTCAGGGGTTTGTATGTGGGCTCTCACTTCAGTTCCTCACTCTCATATCTACACTACCATTCAATATTTGGAAACTTCTGTTAAAAAAAGTTTCAAATAACTGTTTTCAATAATATAAAACCAGTTTCGTTGCAGATATATGCATGACTGTAAAATGATGCTAATATTCTATAGGTTTCAATGGCTTGTAGGAAGTTGTAAAAATTAAGAAATATTTGATGATAAACAGAGCTGTAGATGATTCTATAATAACTTGAGAAAGAACAAAAATAATGATAACAAACTTAATTTAAAATAGTAATACAATGAATCTATATACATGTGTGTGTGTATATATATATACACACACACATATATATATATATATATATATATATATATACATATATATAGCCTCTCATATAAAACACAAATCACACTGAACAAAGAGCTATTTATAATAATTTTGCGATCAATAAAATCTGTTTTAATTTTTTACATTTATTGCCATAATTTCTTTTTCCCAAAATGCTTTAAATTGTGAATTGTGAATACATTGTAGCGTCTATTTTTATATTATATTTAATTATATTAGTCTACACTGTACAACAGTGCAAACTACTGAATGGTAGTATACATAAATTACAGTGTTATATTGATTTTCCAAGTTAAAATAAGTTAACACCTCATCTTAAATAAAAACAAATTATTGTGCACAATTTCTATTTATTTATTTATAAGTTTAACATATTGAAAAAAATATGACATAAAATATTAAATTTGCCATAAATTTTCAAGGCAGGCCACATTCTATGTTTTCTTTTTTCCCTATATGTTAAATTCAGCAAATAAATAGTAAGTGTGCATTAATATGTGCAGAACAGTGTTCTCTGTAGAGGATGTGTTATTTTTAGAAAAATAACAAAGCGTGAACATAAACATGACGAGTGCGTCCCTGAAGTATACACTATGATTCAAAATCACTCATTGTAATCATTTTTACTTTATATACAATAATAACTCTATAACTATAATAAAATATTGTTGTAAATATTATGAAATATTAAGACATCAGAAGGTATTTTTGATGTTTTATCCAATATTTAAAAATTGATCGATAGATGAAATAGATGAAATATTTACAAACTTTTCCTCCCAAATTTTTCACCTTTAGTTTTGATCACCACTTTTGAAATATGAATCATTCTGGATATTTACATTACGTTACTGATGTTATACAGTTTTCTCAGTCATTTCAGAATCTTCGACAGCCCTGATCACAATTCTGGACATGTCTAAAATTTCTTAATTGTTTTTTCTTGCCGTTTTGTAGATTCCTACTAATTATGTGAAACCTGTGAAGTTGCACAGGACTAGCATATTAGAATAATTTTATGCATTTTTACTACTATGCAAAAGTCAACTCAGCAAATTGTTTAAAACAATTTATCTGGACAATAACTGTTTTTATTTGTACACATACTATTCACTACACTGTATACTGTATAACACTATACGATTTTAATAAACGCAAATAAATTTTAATGCAGTAAAAATAACAAAATTTTTAAAAAAACAATTGACATATTTCACACTCAAAAATAATCCTTTACCTACTTTTTCCATTCTGAATTGAAATGGCTTGCTTTCAAAATAGGGCAATCTTGTTGATCCAATAATTTACTAAAATTGACCAACCTTTATCTGCTATCAACTCAACTCTTTAACGTTCACTGAACTTTTCTATTACTATTGCTACTGTTAATGTGACTTCTGTTGGTTCAACTTACTAAACTTAGCTTAAATGTGGTCCATGTAGTGCCCAGTTAGTTAAGACCACATTGAGCAATAGGCAGTATGGTAACACGCTCTTACAACCAACAATAATCAGGCTGAACGATTAACAAAAATACGGAATGTAAACATACATGCAAAGGAAGACTGGCCACAGGAGGAAAGACAATACAGAGCTGAATCTTTGAATTTCTTTGTCTCTGAATACAAGAAATCATGATAAAAGTTCCCCTGACTCTAAAGAGTATAATTACAGTTATATAATTTAATAATTTTGGATATATATAATTTAAGTACAATAAACATAATTTATTTGGGTAAGTGTCTCATCACACGTAGAAATGCAATGAGGCTTGGAAAAACACAATTTATTTTCTTTTATTTGACTTGATTGATTTGACTGATTTGACTTGATTTGCCTGATTTAATGCTTTGGATAATTATGTTCTTTCATTGCTTCATTAAGAACATTTTAAAAACAGGCCAATTCAATTATACCAACTTGATTTGTTTTCTTAACACGCACAAGAGTCAGTTCTATGTTTTCTGAGAATGGAAGTACAAAGGTTTGGTTCTAGATTTGCCCCTAGTCATTGTATGAATTTGTTCAACTTCATCATTATTCCTCCTGATTTAGTTTAATGAAGCAGTGATTAGATACACCAGATATGGGATGATAATTACAAGTAATTCTGGGCATTTTCGAGAAAATCGTTGAAGTAAAACACACTGACAAACATAAAATCACTTTTTATTGTATTAATATTATTAATATTATATTATTAGAACAGTTACATTCTAATATTTTTTTTCTGAGCAAATATATGCTTATTGCCCAAATAAATATCTTTTTAAATATAAATTTCTCTGGTGGCTAATTATTGTATCTGCACCCAGATTGGTTTTAAATTATTGAAAACACTGATTCCAACCTTTCAGATAGCAGTGTATCATTACTATACGTAAAGACATTTAGTCAAGTACAGTCAGGGCTGGGATGTAATGGAATACAAGTATTGGGGATATGTATTCAGAATACAGAAGAATCTGTATTCAGACCAAGTTACATTTTGTATTCAGAATACAGAAACGGTGTGAGAATGAGAATACTTTTAGAATATTTACCTGCTAAATTTATGTATACACACACACACACACACACACACGTGTATATATATATATATATATATATATATATATATACACACACACCATCAATGCCTATTTAACTATATAAAATCAGCAAACAGCATGAAAAGACTCTAAAGAAGAACTCAAAAAACAACTTCTTTACAAACACTAAAGTTCCTGCTAAAACCTTTGTAATCAGTTATTAATCTGAGTTTCAGTAAACTATTTTTAGGGATGACTGAACTGAAGTCTCCTCAGCTGTGGATATTCACGAATGATAAACTCACCTCAGCTTTGTTACTGTACTGCACTTGTGCATGTGTTTCATGGCAAGTTACTTGCATGTTATTGATTGACAATCACACAGCTACTCACTTTACAGTCAAATTAGCAAAAATGTGGTATTGGGATATGACGAATTGCTGTCTTAGGTCATGAAAGGACAGTTGGACTGAAGCAGGTGATGAGAGACAAAATAATATTGAAAATTTTGTATTCATTTTGAATGAATGATTGAATTTTTCACAAAACATTATCAATTACATGAAGAAAACTGCCAAACAGTAACAATGAGGCACAATCTGAATTAAACATAAACTACAGCAGAGTTTTTCCAATGTACTCTAATGTAAGTATATGTATTCTATATTTTTGACATTTACATTTAATGCCGTGAATGTAAACATTACTTAGAAAGGACACCAGCAGAACAGCTGTGCCACATTTAAACAAGCTTTGAAAAATATGAGCCCAGTGATTTTTAATTCAACATCTGCAAAAATAAACTTAAGAACTTAAGGATAAAAAAATTGGTAAAAATGAATTAATAAAACAGCACAAAGAGCTCTGTTACTATGCAGTTTAAGCAGTTACTATACATAGTGTACATGTTAACAGGCTCTCAATAATTAGTATTTTAAAATACGCAGTTCTTCAGTGTTCCAGAAATACTAACAACACTCATTATGTACTCAGAAAAGCCTATTGTGACCAAATAAATTATTTTATTTTGTATGAAATGGAATAAATAATGGTGGGAGAATATTTTGGAGGGTTGGCCAGAAGTCTATTTTTTATATTCATCAGGTAACATTAGGACTGAAAGTTTAAAAATGAAACCCCAATTTGTTACGTTTTATTTGCTCTTTGACTGATTCTAGGACACAATTAAAATAGGTGTTCATAACCTTTGCAAAATCCACAAAAGTAAAACTTGTGCCTAGTTTAGTTAGTTTAGGAGTTTTGGTAAAATTACTAAGTGCTATAGAGAAAGGGAATGATACAGCCATGTGCTTATTCACTCTTTAAATCAGGTAGTGAGAAATGAAAAGCATGGGGAAATAATTTAACACGTTTATTGCATGCCTCTTCTTAAAAATGCTTTACTGTTTAGAATAAAATGTAATATCAGAGCAATTTTTAATCACAGACATGACAGCAGTGAAAAAAATATTTTCTTTTAACTTTTATTTATTTAATTTTATTTAATTTGCCAGTTTTCTATTCAATTTTCCAATTTAACTGAAACCAATTAATGAAAGGTGAAAATCTAAACATTTATTATTTATTTGAGATTAACTTCAATTTTACAAAATAATAAGATAGGGAGCAAAAGTGACATGGAGTGGAAAAATCATAATATAAAAAAGACGAAGGAAAAAAAAAGAAGAAATAAAGAAAGAAAAAAACAGAAAAAAAAACAGGAATACAGTTCCTTCACAAAATATTCTGAGAATTAATAATTGTCAGAATAAATGGTCAATGAACTGTATGCACATAAAGTTACATTTTACAGGCTTTTGTTTAAGCAGTGTAACCCCTGGACTACAGTGTGTGATATAAAATGATGTATGTACATATAGGATATAATTAAGTCAAATGAATCTAAAGTGTTTTTAGATTTGATGAAGTCTACTGCTTTGGAATTATAACACCACCTCATTTTTACAATGCAGTTTTGTGCCCAGACCCTCATACTGGAGGACAAAAATAAAAGTGAACTCAAGCACAATAAAATTTAGCATTTGTCTATGTACAATAATTACACTGTACATGCTTCATCTTTTTCTACCATCTTTCTATGAGATCCTTTACTAGGCTGTTTTAGTTGTTGGGTTGTGCTGAAGGACTCCTCACTTCAGCTGCTTTTTTATCAAGTCTATCTTATTCATTATGTCTTTTGTTGGATATAATAGGGAATTGACTTGAACAGCATAAAATATTCCACTTCTCTCTATAACACATTCCAGTCTTGCTACTGTTGGTAACTGCAGAGCCTTTCTTACTGTTGCTGATTAGTGATGCAGAGCCTTTCGCTGATGAAAGATCTGAAAGGACAAAATGCTTTTAAACATTGCTGAAACCAATCACCAATGGCTGGGAATGACACTACTTCTACTGTGTAGACAGTAAACAGTTCTTTCCTGGTCTTTGCTGATAGCACAGCATTACAGAAGGCCTACAAAATATTACACAAAGTACAGAGGTGGGCGATATGGCAAAAAAATAACATTGTGATACTTCAAGAAATTTTCACAATACACAATATTTATTTTCTCAGACATCCGACCAGTTGGAACTTAGAAAAAGGACAAGCGGTGCTACATTCAAAAAATACTATTAAAAACTGTAAACACTTTTTTTTACTCAGTGTTTGTATCCAGTTAAATCGGGCTAATTTTGCTCCTCTTATAATGAAACTTGTAGTTGGTCGGTTTTCTACAAGTACTAATGATATTCACGATTCAGGAAAGCATACTGTACTGTATTGTGACAGAATTTATCAGGATAATGATATATGTTGTCATGTTGCCCAGCCCTAACAAAACACTATATAATATCTTGCTATGCCTGATTCTGATTTTCCAGTTCTTATGCTTATGTAGGCTAAGCATCCAAACATATTTATTTATTCACTTTTTTGTTGTTTATTTAAGACACCAAAGAGCAAAATCACTTGTTCACCTTCCTAGTTTTTTATGCTCAGAAAACGTAACGTTACGTTGTGCTCTAATCTTAGCCCCTAACTCCAGCCAGGGGCTAATTCATATTAACCATATGGTTACGCTAATTTAAACTGGAAAGACTCGACACACAAAGCTAACATTAACTCCAAAATAAACAATATAAAATGGTCTGAAACGTAAACGGTCACACTCTGTACCTTCACGTTACTACTTATATGTAGGTTAAACAAGACGAAACAAATTACACAATGATAATGATTAGTTTAACCGCTTGACAGTACTTACATTGTTGACACAACCTCTACTCAGCAGCTGGAGTTGAAGGAGTCCACCCCAAACGCAGTCTGTGCTAACGCTCGCTGAACTAGCCCTGTGAAATCTGTTTCACAGACGAACTAATTTCTTGAAACATTACAAGTTAATGCCGTTCGTGTGAATCAATGTATGTACGAAGGAAAGAAATATATCAGTTACTGAGGTACATTTTTGCCCACTGAACGTTACAAAGTACACTCATAGCTCAGCTCTGCTAACTAAATCTAACACACACGACGGTCCACTAAGACTGCGGCCGGCCACTAGCCAAGGCGTCGGGGAGCCATTTTGTAGCGTCGTTCCAAATCTGTCTTGGTGAAGAAAAAAAATCCGGTAAAGGGCCCCACAGGGAAGGGGCCAGTGGATGGACCCACCGCATTCCTGAGATTCCTTTGTGGCATTATTGAAGTGCATAAAAAAACAGCTATTACTCAGTGTAGTCAGTTAAAAACATAAAATAACGCTAGCTAGGAAAACAACAGTTTGTAGTTACTTTTGTAATTTTCTTTTACATGAACGGTCAGCCACTGCACAATCAAAACTCCAACCAGGGGCCATGCTAACCGAGCTAAATGAGAACTGGTGACGGCCTCATTGAATTAGTCAAGTTTTGCTTTTATATCTGATCACGATAAAGTGTGGCATGTTTGTTTTACATGAAATTTCCCCGAACCGCGGAAAAATACCGTTGGTTGCGTTCCAAATAGCAGTTATTTTCGACCCCTACACTCTGACACCCTTAAGAGCCTTTCTAGGGAGTAGGGCGTAGGTATCATTACGTCTAAATGGAACGTACCATAGATACGCTGAAGCTTCGCGTCCCCCACGTGACGCTGTCTGCTCCCGCCTCCCGCTCTCTGTGATTTTATTGGTGGAGCGCCGCAGTACCCGGATGGTGGTATATAAAGACGTGAGCAGGCCGCTGCTCTTCCTTTTCCTGAAGACCAGACGAGTCGGTGTGTCTGCGCTTCCTGACTCACCGCTGTTCGCTTCATAAACACGAATAAGTCGGTCAGGAATACACAATCATGGTAATTTCCCCCACTTCTTTCTGGCTCTCTGTGAAAAGTGTGCAAGTGGTCTGTGTTAATCTGCCGAAGCCCAGAAAAGGCGAGCTGTTGTGTTTTCAGCACGTGTGGCACCACATAGCTAGCGTTAGTTGGCTAGCAGAGCATCCATCAATGTCCCACACGTTTCCCCTGATACTAGCTGGGCTGTGTTTGTCTTTTCAGCGCTTGTTAATGTTTTGTTAGGTATCAGCTTTCTAGTTACGTTGGTATATTTTCTTGTAAAGCAACGCGACTAAAGTTTCGTAACGTAAAGTTAGCTACGTTTTAATGTACTGTTAGCTAGCTAGCTAGCTAACCTAGCTTGATGCTAAATCCCGCGCCACTGACCCGGCTACAACACGACTGATGTTTCCTCGTTTCACGTGGGTTATAAAGCGAGCTAGATTTTACATGATACTGGTACGGTTTAGTCGTTTTTGTATATAATTAACCGGTTTGACAACATATTAAGCTGTTTAGACTGGCTGCTGCTACTATGCTGCAGATTCACTCTGTTCTGTGTTGTAACGTCGCATAGTGGCTAAGGGGTGCTGTCCGGAGTGGTCCTTTATTAAAGCCGTGTAAATGTTTAGAACTAGAACTTTCATTTAAAAGTTGAACTGCACCTCAAGGGTTCTGGCTACTTTAAGTTTGGTATACAGTAAATGTTTACTTGCCATGTTCAGAAAGTCTCATCAGTCCTTTGCTTTTCTCGTTGCTGATTCTCACACCTGTAGCTGAAGTTCTGATCTGAGCGCTGAAGCTGTGGATGGATTTGAAAATATAGTGAACACTAGCTCAGCTGTAAAGCAGTATGTGCTCAAGAATGAGTCTTAATTTGTTTTCTAGAAACTGAACTTTTTTCTCCTTCCAAATTTGCAGGCATTCAAAGACAGTGGCAAAGCTCCTGTTGAGCCTGAGGTGGCCATTCACCGCATCCGGATCACCCTCACCAGCCGCAACGTCAAGTCACTTGAGAAGGGTCAGTGCATGTGTTCAGATCTGTCCCTACCTTTTTAAGAAAACCTTCAGGCTGTGAGGATGACAATTGTAGAATGATTGTCTGTGAATTATTTAATACGCTATTCTGAGCCTTTGTACACATCTGAGTCAGATATTGCTGTACACTTGTGTTTTGCTCATGAGAACCTCTTACAACTTTGCAGTGTGTGCTGATCTGATCCGGGGTGCTAAGGAGAAGAGCCTTAAGGTGAAGGGGCCTGTGCGCATGCCCACCAAGGTAATTGTGCAAGTCAGGTTGCTTCCCAGAATCTGTTTGTGTTGTCAAGGTACATGTATGCTGCTAGGCACTCGTCTGAGACCATACTCACTGTCCAAAGTTGGCAGTTTCATGTAACTACTCAATGATCATTGTATCACATACATCTACAGTATAGGTGCACTTTGTTGTTTAGTTACTGATTGTAGCCCATCTGTTGCTGCAGTTTATCAGCCCCCCTATGCGATTCAGAAATGGACGCCAACCATATGTCAAGGGGTGGTCCTTTCTCAGCATGACTGAGACCAACCAAAAATGTCCAGTTGACAGGGGGTGTGTGATTAGAAATTAGACACTGATGAAGGACTACATTTATGATAAAATGGCTAATGAGCTGAGGGGTATGTAGGTCTGTGTGGTTTGTGACCATGTATAGCCTTCAGGTATTCAGCATGTATAAATAGTTGGGCTGAGGTAGGTTTAGTTAATGTCAGATGTGCCCTGGTCTAATCCCTTCTTGTTTTTCTCTCAGACCTTGCGCATCACCACCCGTAAGACCCCTTGTGGAGAGGGTTCCAAAACCTGGGACAGGTTCCAGATGAGGATCCACAAGCGCCTCATTGACCTTCACAGTCCATCTGAGATCGTCAAGCAGATCACCAGCATCAGCATCGAGCCTGGTGTCGAGGTGGAGGTTACCATCGCAGATGCGTAAACTGCTTTGAGTTGCCAGATTGAGCTGCTCTGATCATGACAGCACAATAAAGAGAGAGAGTGGATTTGATGTGTACTGTTTTTCTTTTGTTTTCCACTGGACACTGTGAAATCAAGGTGACAGATTCTTTGCTATGATGACCCCCTTGATGAACTCTTCCTAGAAATACTCAGTCCTGCTGAATTGACATGCTGTCAAAATGGGATGCTGCTTTTAGCGATTATAACTGGAGTTGTGTATGGAAAGAGAAATGCACCTCTGAGCCACTTTAACAGATTTCTATGTTGATGGTGCAGTGATTTCCCAACCCTGTTTTAGAAGCCCTGAGAATCAAGTGACTAGTTGTCTAGAGCAGTAGTACTTAAGAGGGGGTGTAGCTATTTTTTCCATTTGCGTTATGTACTTTACTAAACATATTTGATTATCAAGTCAAGGCTTATTTTTGTATTCCATATTTGTGAGTGAACTGAAGGTACTTTACTACAGAGGAGATAATATATTGGTCACCTTTTTAAAGAAAAAGTTCATTTGCTCGCCTGAGTATAGGAAGGTGGAGGACTGAAGTTAGGCAGATGTGTTAATGTAATGTAGCTAGTAGTTTTAGTTCACACTATCTGGTTTTATATCAGTGGTTCAAAAAATGTTCCCATGATGAAAACAAAGGTTCTCTAAACAGAATTCTCCAACAGGCATCCTTTGCCTAGTAGGAGTTTCAAACAATACATTCAGGCTTCAGCAGAAATCACCTGAGATTCACACTGAAGTCCCTTTGTTCGGGAAACTATTATTTGAAATTGACTACATTTCTATTTTCATTAAGAAAAAAATCTGTTAACAATTAAAGCAGTTCTGTGTGTATGTCTAAAGAAAAAAATAATGAAATGGTCATAGATAAAACCATACAGTTTAAAGCATAAATAGTCTATAACTTTTGAAGTGAAGTTGAATAGTCACAAAGAGGACAGGGGTGTTAAAGTTTTAAAGTAGGGATGGGCAGATTGATACTGAAATATTTACACTTCCAATTATGACAATATTGAAACTAGGTACTTTGTTTAAACACTGAACTGAATCTACATTATTAATGACTTAAGCAAATAAATGTGTAGGATAGAGCTACTTTTCCTTCCATCCTCTGCTCTCACAGTCAGGCACAGACAGACACAGTGAACAGTGGCAGATCTTTTGTTGTTATTTCCCTAATCAGACAGTTTATATGGCAGCTTATTTAATATAAATGCAAAAGCTTTGAAATTAAACTTGTAATCTCAACTTTTTAACTGGTTTTTACTCTTGAAATAACAAATAATCCCCTGTTCAGACGTATGGGTACTGGTGTCTCCCTGCCTGTTTAAAGCAGTCTCGGAGGACGCGCTCTGCAGGTCAGCTGCACCGTTTGCTCTCATAAAGCTGATTGTTCCTCGACTCTGATTGGTGCCTCAGTTTTCTAACTGAGACGTGATTGGTTGGTTGCCATTTTTGGGTGGTGCTTCAGCTCGTCACTGAAAGTGGATAAAGCTGCTTTTCATTGTGTGTCGTTGTTGTTGATTGTCAGTATGAAAACCTGCTGCTGTTAAAATGTTTTATTGAAGCAGCCGGTCTGTTTTTAGCGAACCAGTTAGTTTCGGTCACGCGAACTGAGGGCGGAGGAGTCTGTGTATCTCCCATTTCTCTGAGTTTGGTAAGACTGAAAACGAAAGGAGTGTAAAATACTGATGACTGAACTTTATTATTTAAGTGTTATTTTACTCACCTGGAGTGTGATCGAAATTAAGTAGTTGGACTTTTGTTCCATTATAACTCAAAAAAAAATCACTCCTTATTTTTTCATTAGACCTTCGAAGTGATCTTTGCAAATCTCAAAGGCCACGAGGTTTCTATTTTTCTGTACACTCTTAAAAAAGATTAAAGGGTTCTTTAGTAAAGGCAGTGGTTCTCTTTACACCCATGAGTTCTATGTCGAAGCATTTCATGCTTAAATGGTTCTTCGCATGGTGAAATAGTTCTTAAGATTAATGGGGGATGTGTTGTTTGTGGTTCCAAATAGCACCAAAAAGGGTTCTGCTATTGTTACAATAGAGCTTGTAACAATAGAAGAACTCTTTTTGATGTTTTACAGAACTAATTTCAAAAAGGTTCTATATCGAACCATATGCAACACATTTTCCGTCGATCTGAAGAACAATTAAATATTAAATAAGCATTAAATATTTCTATATGCACTCTTAAAGATGGTTTATGTGTGTGTGTGTGTGTGTGTTTATATATTTATATATATATATATATATATATATATATTTATTAATTACGCTATTATAATTGAGAGAGAGATATCCATAAATGTTCGAAGAACCATTTGCATGATTAAAAGGTTCTTTGTCTTGTGAAATGGAAATGGTTTTTCAGATGCAGAATGGGTTGTATATGGTTTGTTAAAGGACCTTTTAAAAAAGTGGTTCTGTATATCACCAAAGAGGATTGGTTACGATGTCAAGCTTGTAACAGTAGAAGGACCTTTTAATAGACTGCTCTGTATAGAACCATGAATATTTCAAGAACCATTTGCATGATTAAACATTTTTGTATGGTGAAATGGTACTTCAGATTGATGGAGAATGTGTTGTATATGCTTCTGTGTAACCTTTTTGAAAAAAAGGATTGACATTGTAACAACAGCAGAACCCTTTTTGGTGCTATATAGAATCCTTCTCAAAAAGATTCTGTGTAGAACCATAGACAACACATTGTCAATCTGAAGAACCGTTTCACTGTGCAAAGAACTATTTAATCATGCAGATGGTGGTGCATGTGCACTGTGGTTTTTTTTTTTGTTTGTTTGTTTTTTTAAATTAAACTAAAGAACCCTTGAAGAACCAGTGTGTAGCTAATCAGTAAATCACATTTAATAGCCTACCAATGTGCCTAATGACGTCTGGTTGCTGTTTAACTGTGGATTTTCTTGAAGCTATGGCGGCAACTATTGACCTGACGCACGAGGGCACACTTTTGGTGGCCATGGAGTCAACAGCTTGTGACCCCCACCACACTGCCTTACCAGAACTTTCTGGACTTTCCTCCATCACTTCACAGGTATGAGTAGTGCCACGTCTTCATATACGATCTAGCAGGTCATCATGAGTAAGTGTTTGTTTTATGATTCTTGGGCACTTTTTTCATTTTTCAGCTTCAGGAAGTGGTGAGGCTTTTTTTCTTAATTTGTTTTACTTTTCATATCTGTACTAAATTTTGGTCAATGCCGTCAGTCCACGGATGTTATGCCTCCGTTACCGCATCCCATTTACTGCATCTGAATACTTATTTTCCAGCTCCATGTAGGATCTAACAGATCATGAGTGTCTGTGTGTTCTCAGAGCGAGTCAGTAGATGGTTCTGAGCAGCAGCTTCGAGTTTACCTCAGGGTTCGTCCCTTCAGTAAAGAGGAGCTCAGCAATAATGAGGACCAGGTTTGTGCATTCTGATCTAGTACGTGTAATCTAGTACATGTGTTCATGTCAGTTGAACATGCAGCTGAAGTTGAATAACTGTGCTTGATCTTTTTCAGGGTTGTGTCGTTTTGGAGAGCACAGAAACTGCTGCACTATATGCTCCCAAAGGCTCCGCTACCATGAAGAGCAGCGAGAAAGGCATTGGACAGCAGCTTCACAAGTTCAGCTTCACGAAGGTGCTCTGATCTTGTCTTTCTATAAAAGTCTAAACTCTGTTTTATGATCTCCTTTGTGCAGCTCTGGGTAATGGTTTTTGATGTTTTTGTTGTAGATCTTTGGGCCAGAGTCAACTCAGGCAGAATTCTTTGATGGAACAATCAAATCTCAAGTTCAGGACTTCCTGCAAGGCAGAAATGCATTGGTGTTCAGTTATGGAGTGACCAATGCTGGGAAGACCCATACCATACAAGGCATGTGCCTTCAGTGTCTGCATGAAGTTTCTCTAAAAAATTAAAGTGCTTTGTGTGTGTAAAGGAGTTACAAAATGCATGTCTTGACCAGCTCCTTTTTCTCATCACGTCAATTCTTAATTCTGGTCATGTTGCCTTACTTGCAGCAGATCTTCACTACTCCTCAGTAGTTTGGAATATTAATTAAGAATGTTTACAATATTTGTGAACTACACACCAAAAGATATTTAGATGCTTTCAAAATTTTAAGTATTTTTGGAAGTAGCTATTAGGATCACTTTTTGCTTTTGATGTAACCAAATTAGTTATATTGTTGAACATGAATTCCAGACTTTTAAATGGAAAAATCCATGTTTATGTGCAAATGCAGGTTCGCAGAAGGATCCTGGGATTTTGCCTCGTGCTCTGGATGCAGTGTTCAGGCACATCAGTGGGCGGATGTATGAACACATGGACCTGAGGCCGTATCTGAGCTCAGATGTGCAGAAACTGGACCCAGATCTGCTCAGAGCAGAGAGATGCGCCAAAGCAGCCCTGTTCAGTCTGCTTAAGGAGGTACTAGCTAGAGGCGTAAATCTGACTTCACAGTAATTCAGTTACAGCTCTTTAGGAAATGGTTCAGAAGTAGTACAGAAGTGTCTAATTTGATTTTGGATGAGTACAATAGAAAATTGTCTATTTTGGCTAATGTTCTGAAATCAGAGGTTGTTTGTTTGTTTGTTTGTTTGTTTTACCCATTGTGTCAGCACAGCTTAATGCAGCTAAACATGTGTCAGGTTTGGTACTCGCAACCAAATCAAAGTTCATTATGAGCTAGAAAAAAATTCTTTCTACAAACTGTGTTGTGAACTTTTGACAACTTTCAAAATGTGCTGTGAGCTCTACTGTCCATGGCCAGATTTAGACCTTTCCTGAAGCAATAATAATAATAATAATAATAATAATAATAATAATAATGAGGTCTATTATGGAATGACTTAATTTGTGTGCAGGAGTCAGAGTCCATCAGAAACAGCCAGAGTAGAAGCTCTTCATCTTCCTCCATCAACAGTCTCTCTTTTTCAGGAGTTTCCTATGACCACACAGGTAATACATATATTGTCATACTCAAAGAAAAAAAAAAAAAATTACCAAAATAACTATGGGAG